CAGTTTGTTCTCCACAGTTGAGTCTGGTTTTTTTGTTGATTTAAAGTTTTCTTATGAACATAAGTTTCTATATATAAAATTTCTTCTGGACTAAGCTATTATTACAACAATGAGTAATATACATTTGACCAAAACAACATACATGTATTATAAGTTTTGATAACCGTTATCCATAAAAAGCAAGCGCAGAAATGCATCTAAGAGGGTGACTTCTATTTTTAATTAGTTTGTATATGTATGAAGAAATATTATTTACTGGTAAATGAGAGTGTTGAACATCAATTCTATTCCATCTTGTTTTATTTGTAATGATGTACAAAGGTAGTATTTATGCGTGTCACATAAGTAAATCGATGGGAATAGAAGTGGTTTGGTGTACTGTACTGCAGTGTCATCTCTGACCTCCTTGTGAGTGATTTACCAAAAGGCACACACTGATAAAATACCAAAAATTATTTTACTACCTTATCAGCTGACAACTCAATTAAGTCCTCCTTTAGTTTTCTTGAAAACAAAGAATTGAAAACCACTTGACTTGCAGGAGGATTTGTTAACCAGTCATCGAGGTCATTCCTGTGCTCCATACCTACATCATATTTCACATTGTTCATCATGTGTGACAGCTCGGAGGAAACACAGTAAGTCGGTAAATGAAGAGTTGACACTTATTATTAAGAGAGAAAGAGAGACTGGCAAAAGGGAGGACCTTGAGTGCAACTAGTTTCAGGTCCATTTCATGACATAAGTGCATATGATGGTTGAACACCTGCAAAGTAGCTTTGCTAGTGAATCCCTTGAAAAGCTTCATTTCCCCTCAGGGAGACACCTACACCAGCTTGAAGATCGCTATGTCACCTTAGTACCAAGCTCCTGAACAAGTACGAGATTTCTCCTACACTTTTTTCCTTAACATAACCTTAGTTATAAGTAGATATTTAATAAAGACCAGGAAGGATCTGACAAAGGAGGTAGAGAGCTTGTTCTTAAATAGACTTTGGCACAAGACTCTGTCCCAGGAATCTTCTGTGTACTCTATTTTCCCTATGAAAAATGGGGGTATCACATCATCACAAAGTATTGTAAGGGTTGCACAGATTATAAAACAATATAAGACTTCTGGAAGGAATTTCAAAAGGAATGTGTATTCTCAATACCCAGCATTTTATCTGACAGAATTTATATTACCTGTCATAGTTTTCCTATCATAGGGCATGGTATCAGGAGGAAGGAAAAAACAAAGAACTAAAAAAGAAGGGTGGGCTTGAGAGTGACTTTGAAGGAATTCTAGCTATATTTATTCCCTGTTCCCTTGTACCTCTTGCTGCTGACCATGTTGACAGGGAGATTTTTTTTAAATGACAGAATCAGGTACGTATAGAGGACTAGAAGGAAATATTGCCCAAGGTCAGAAGTGGCCTTTCCTGGGCTGTCCTTGAAGCTGGTAGAATATTTCACATATTAGATGACTCTTTAAGACTTTCTTTTCTTTTCCCAAGCAATCATTTTCCAAGGTCAGTAATTATGGCAAAATTACTGATTTAGAAGTATGATAGAACTCAACTTTAAATTTATAACACAAGAATTTATAAAACCACAGAAAAGGCTCAACTTAAAAAGATTTTTACAGGGGCACTTGGGCAGCTCAGTTGGTTAAATATCTACCTTTGGCTCAGGTCATGATCCCAGGGTCCTGGGATCAAGCCCCTCATGAGTCTCCTTGCTGGGTGGAGAGTACTTCTCTCCCTCTCCCTGCTTATTTTCTTTCTCTCTCTCTCTCAACTAAATAACATCTTTAAAATAAATAAATAAATAAATTTCAAATAGCCTAATTCTGCCTACCTTTACTTTAGTTGTCTAGCTTTCCCTTGAATTATTTAAATAATTTACCTTATTCTTTGATTGGCTGTAAATATAACTCCTTTCTGATACAGTATATATTAATGAGATTTGTTATTTCCCTTTCTCAACCACCCCAATGCACCTTTTTTTTTTTTTTAAAGATTTTATTTATTTATTTGACAGAGAGAGAAAGCAAGAGCACAAGCAGGGGGAACAGCAGAGGGAAAGGGAGATGCAGGCTCCCCGCTGAGAAGAGCCAAATGTGGGGCTTGATCCCAGTACCCCAGTATCATGACCTGAGCCGAAGGCAGATGCTTAACCAACTGAGCCACCCAGGCACCCCTAAATGCATCTTTTAAAAGAAGTTTCCTTCCTTACACCTGTGGCCAGGTATAAGAGGTACAAGAGAACAGGGAATATATAGCTGGAATCTCTTGAAGTCACTCTTAAACTCACCCTCCCTTCCTTTCTTTGCAAGTCTTTTCCTTCCTCCTACCAGTAAATGAAAACATTTAGAAGTGCACATATAGTATCTTGCTATGTATTTACGATACCTCTTCCTAGAAGATAATGTGTGAGATGAAGAACATCAGAGTTTGGGGTCTGAAGACCTGAGACTGAACATGATTTTAGACAAACCACTTAACTTTATTGAGCTTTTATTTACTTGTTTAGGAAATGGTCATAACTTTCCTCTCTGACATTACCCCACGTATGGGAAAGACATGTATGAATGCAAACATGTTTTCAGACAGTCAATATAAACAACCCAATGAAACAATTTTTCTCTGCTTTATAGAGTTTAAATTCATAAGGAAAGGACAAAGAAGATATCTCAAAGTCTAGTCTTATTTTTAAAGAATCATTCACATGTCTTATTTGTAAATGTATAGTTTTTTTATGCTTTTAATAATGAAACTAGAGGGGAAAATCAGTTCAGCTGAACATACAAATAGTTTTATCAACATAGTATTTGCAGAGAAAGAAATTCATTTAATCGAAATATCAAAACACTGAATTTCACACTTAAACCCACATGCAGATTGTAGGATTATGTTACAGAATGTTTTGACCGAATGTGTTAAATATAAAAATAATTCAATGCAATTTCCATTTAGCACATTGTACAAAAGTCATTCTTCAGTAGAATTAACAAGTTTACAATCTTTCTTATAAGGTGCTATGTATTCAAAGTGCTCTGTAGCATTGAGGTTGAGATTAGGAAACAAACACTGGAGAGTTCCTCAGTAACGTAGCTCAGTAATAAATGAAATCGGATATACTGTAGATGAAACCCACTCATTAATCCTAAGACAGACCATGGCAATCTGTGGTGCGCTGTGAGAGGCACTCATCCTTGGTGGGGGGTGGGGCAGGAAGATGTCATAAACACATCATTATGGTCATAATAAAAATAAGCTTCAAGTTGAATCCATCACTTTTATAGTGAATACCCTTTCCTAGAGAAAAGGAGAAAAACAGAGGCACAGAAAACGAAAGAGGCAGAGAAAGTTCACAATGCTTCTGCAGTCCATTTTCCTCCTGAGATTAATCCTCAGTACAACCCAGAGTCCACAACAGCAGTTCCAGACTTTAGAGTCCATGAGAATTACCTGGAGGGCTTATTAAACACCCACTGCAAGGACCCAGCCAAGCGTTTCAAATTTAATAGGTGTGAGAGGAGGGCAGGAATTAGTATTTTTGGAACAGTTCCAGGTGATGCTGATATCCTCATCAAGGGACCACATTTTTGAGAACCACAGGTCCTTTATATCTTTGATCAAGGGCTCCTTTATTAAAATGAAACATACCTAAAAAGACAACATGCCTGCTCCCTAGGGACATAGAGTGTAGGGCAGTCTGCATAGATTGTATGATTTAAGGCACCAGTCCTCAATTTTAGCTACATAATAGTAGTAGTAGAATAGAATAGTAGTAGAGTAGAATCAACTGAATTAAAAACAAAAACAAAAACAAAAAACAAAAACAAAAAACAAAACCCAAAAATCAAAACACCTGATGCCTATACCCATCTAAAAGTAATTAAACCCACATCTCCAGGGGAGGGGGCCAGGGGTTGAATCATTCATGAAAGTGCTCCGCACAAGTCTAATGTGTAGTCCAGCTGGAGAATCTCTGCTTTAGGAGATTTTGTTCATCTCCTCATGGGAGAAAACATGGCCAAACATCTTAGGGTACTGGTATAGGAACAAAGGCACCTTCAAGGAAATCATAATCCCCAGTAGGCACACGGATGCACAACTATTTCTAGTAATATCAAGGGGTAATTTAGAAAGTGATTCTGACTGTTGATTTACAATGCCCTGCAAGGTTAGTTCACAGGTTTGAAATAACAGAACTCGGGCAGGTGAGCAGCACACTAATTTAATCTAAGTTTCTTTTCCATCAAATGACATCAACCAAAGAAACCAGAGTCTAGAATGTTGGTGTGTGTACTGATGTGCCATGTTTACCTGCTATAATTATTGTTACTCATTTCAGTCAGCTTAATTATTTACTACTCCAATTTACATTTGAATGGACCTATAAATAAGGCCCCCAGGGACAAAATGCTACCAGCAGTTAAGTCTACCTCAGAAAGCAAAACCACAGAAACACAAACAAAAAAAACCAACAAAGGGCATTTTGAAATAAGATTGCCACTTTACTCTTCTAGCATAAATAAGATGAATAAATAAGTGTAGTAAATCAACATGCCATAGAATCCCTTTCTGGAAGGATTTACAGGGCTGGAGCAATTTTTAGTACTGAGTGTACACGAAGGACCTTTAGAGCTCATTTTCACAAACCAAGTCATTAAAGCCCCAAGCCACAGACTTTAAATAAAACTCTAATGTATGAAACCGGAACTAATATTTGATTATAAATAAAAAGGAGTTTAAACAAACCCCAGATGTGAGGACTGAGCCTTTCAGGTGATCTTTGGTAAAAGTCAAACATTTGAAAGCTATCAATTGGATTTGAATAGAGACACGTTAGTTATGTTGAATACATAACAGCCTCACAGTCTTCCATTAGAAACTGCGGCCCCTAAGGAGGGTCCTACAGAAGGATCCAGTTAATTTTAAGGTGTTTTCTGTGCTACTGACCAACACTGCTGGACTGGGAACCGGCTTCGACAAGCAAAATGATTTAAAAAAAAAAAAAAAAAAAAGAGGTAAAAATCCAAAGTCGAAATGAGATGCTTGGGTGAATCTCTCTCCAGTCTTAAGTCTTCCAGAAGACATCTTTCAAACATCCTGAAAAATAATAAAAAGGACAGAACGATGTGTAAAATCACTCAGGATAGTAGAAACTGGGCACTGAGAATAAGACGGCATCAGGGAAATAGCCGGAATACAGGAAATGCTAAAAATAATTTTAGCCTTTAGTTACAATCTGCAATATTTTACATATATTTTTATAATGTGTATATATTTTTCATATTTTATAATTTATACTATATGTATATTAAACTTCACAAAAACTGCAGAAATGAAGGCATACAACCCATTTAAAGGCAAGTAATCACAGCCATCCTTTTAAACACTCAAAGGGAAATCAATTTGGGAATAGAGTTTGATTCTTCTTGTCTGTGGTGTGTCCCTGTGGCCCATTCTCTTTAATTCATCTCCAGGACCCTGGAAAGGAGACATGGGTTTCACCTCCTCAGAAAACTGTGCTTGCAGAGCAGAGAACATGACTCGGGGGTACAAAAGGGGTAAAGTGGGTGCCTGTGCATGTTGGCCCCGTCACATCGGTCTTCTCCAGCTCCTGTCCTCAGGGGCTGGGGGCTAAGCAGCAGAGCCTTGAGAATTGGCACTGCTGGGTACAGGTGTATGCAGGGACAGATGAAGGTTTGAGCCTGACCCAAGGGGAGGGAATCTCAGGTGGGGAATCTGTTAAATTCTGCAAACAGAGTGAGCTCAAACTCACCTTCTGCCCCAAAGTCTCTTAGGCCTTCATGTTGTTCAAGGAGGCATCTGCGTTTGCACGTTCTCTTTTTCTCTCTGCACTGTAAGCTCTTGGCTCTCTTGGCTTTCCGTGTAATCAGGTTTTACAGGGAGCGTTTGCAGGCCCTGTAGACTCTCTCTCCTAGGCTCTGACTCTCTCCCTCGGGACACTCCTGAGCTGAATTCTTGAGCTGCACCCAACTCATGCCCGTCTTCACAGCTCCCCTGGCCAGCCTCCTCTCCCAGGGACTCTGCCCGCTGCATGGTTTCGACTCCCCGGCCCTCTGGATCCTCCCCTAGCTGTGGGGTCTTCCCTCCCCGGTCTGAAGGTTCTTGTGGAGCCCCCACCTCAGTCTCTGTTACCCAAGTCCCCGGCACCTCCTCCCTGCTCGGAGCTCTTTCCTCTGCCACCACCTTCTCAGCAGCTGTCTGTTTCCCTAGTAACCCCTCCACTTCGTGCCAAGTTTCCTTGCCAGCAACATCTGACAGGGAGGAGGCTTTATTTGCCTCTGTTTTCCCCTCAGCTGTCTTCAAATCTGCCAACACCTCCCTCTGCTCTGCAGCCGTTCCTGCAGCGTCGTCTTCTTGGTGGAGAACTTCCTCAGCCACCACGGCTCCAACTTGCCAGCTCCCATCCCCCTCTGTGTCCCCGTGCCTCCTCACTCCTGTCACCGGAACGCACTCTTTATCTGCCTCCTCATCCATAGCTTCTTCACTCAGCTTTTGTGCCATCATGGAATCTTCCTCAGAAACATCTTCTTGGGTCATCGCTGTGACCCCTGCTCCTTGCTGCCTTTGCAAAGACCCTTCTTCATCCCCCGCTTCCAGTCGCGAGAGGCTATCTTGATCTTCGGCTGCGTGCTCCTGAGCCTCACCTGTGGCTGTGATCTCTGCCTCTGGTGCTTGCCCCTTTCCTGCTTGTTCAGTTTCAGGAGATTCTAACACACCCTTCCCCTCAGGGCCCGGCCCTTGGTCCTGCCCCGAGGGAGCCCCGTTCTCCCTGGGGAGCAGCTCTGCTCTGCCTTTGTGCTCTGGGTCCTGGGGTTCTCTCAGTCTTTCCCCTCCTTCCTCTTTGCTCAGAGCACTTGTGTTTTCCAGTGACCCCTCATATCCAGGTGCCCCCTCAAACATGGTCACCCCCATCTCTCTTAGTGAATCTCCTCCTTGCAGCCCTACGTCTTCAGTCAACTCCAACCCCGCGATGGGGGCTTCACCCTCTGCATCACACTCCATTTCATTCTGGGAGACTTGTCTCTCTTCCTCGGGTCTCACTTCCTTCGAGGTTTCCTGCCGTTCCCCTTTAAACTTTTGCTCACCCTGCCCTGCATTTGCCCCTGTCACCTCTTCCCTCTCAGATTCAGTTTCCTCCAGAGGGGATTCTGGCCTCTCAGCTTTCTTCCTTTCTTCTGCTACACCTAATTCCCTGGGTAGCATTTCTTTCCTGTCATCTTCTTTATTAGATTCTGCCTCCATCCCAACCTCCTCCCTTTCCACATCTTCCAGGCTGTTCTCCGAAAGCCCCATCCAGGCTGCCTCAGCCTTCTCTGAAGCTGAGGAGCTCAAGGGTGTCCCTGGTCCCATGGCTGCCTTCCTCTCTTCGGCCTGTTCTTCTCCCCCAAGCATTGCCTCTGCCGAACCACCTTCTCTCTCAGAGGCAGCATCTCCCACAGCTCCCAGGTCCTCTAGGTCTGCAGATGCTTGCTCTTCCCTAGTCACCACCTCAGGCTTTCCAGACCCTGCTGCATTCATTGCCTCCGCTCTCTCAGCCTCTCTCTCCTCTGCCTCCCTCAGGGCTGTGGCCTCCAGCATACACTCTGAGTCCAGAGCTGCTTCACTTGCAAGCACTGATTTCTGGGAGCCCCACTCCCCCTCAGCAGCTGCCTTCTCGGTCTCCAGCACTGTTGGCAACAAGGCTGTCTCTTCAAGAGCCTCATCTTCATTCACACCTCCAGAGTCTCTGGTGGCTTCTATCCCTCTGGGGCTTAAGTTCTCTTCCCCTTCAGCTTCTGCCTCAGCCCCACTCACTCTGCCCTGAGGGAGCTCTCTTTCCTCTGTAAATTGTTCTATTAATGCCGGCTGCTCTGCTGTTGGCTTTCCCTCCCCCAAGGGAACCTGGTCAACCCTTGCTTTTCCCCACATTGCTGCCTCCCCTTTCTCTTCCATTGTGTCAGCATGCCCGTGCTGGGGAAGTTCACCTTCCTTCGCTGCCTCTTTCTTCTCCAGTGTATACACGTCTGATACACCTTGGTTGGATTCTGTGTCTGAACTGAGTGTTGCCATTTCCTCCAACATGAAATTCCTATGTGGTGCTATGAAATAAGGTTAGAAAACATGGTTACTTTAACCAGAATGCCCAGGGAGGAGATATTCTATATAACCATATATGAGATATAGATAATATCAAGAAGCTATTGATCTTACATATTAACCATTTCCTCGATCCTATGATGCCATCGACTGTAACGTGCACCATGATTTAATAATGGCTCTTCATGATGAAAATAAGTGCTATCGGTTTAAAGGACACACTGATATTTAAGGAAAACTGAACATCAGAAATGTTGAAAACAAATAAGATCTCCATATCTTAGAGTGGTCTCCCCCCCTTCTCTCTCTCTCTCAATCTCTCATATAAAACACACACCGCCTACTTTTATTTTAAATACTAGGACTTGCAGAAAAATTATGGAATAAAAAACCAGTATTTCATCTTCTTAGAAATCACTTTGCCCTAGAGCATCATAATATGTGTGTCCTTGGCTTGTGTTTCTTGTATTCATTTGGGCATTCGGCAACACAATCACAATACAGTGTGAGCTGATTATTATCCCCTATATTACTCTCACATTTTAAAGCTACTATATCTAGATTTAGTCATCAAATAACTTTCTAGCTCAAGGTAAGGCTTTTTACTAAAGACACCAATTTGTATTATAGGTCAGGATACCTCCCTGCCTATGTTCAGAAACTGTTTTGCCTTTGGCAAAACAGGATCACAGAACAAGACAGGACTTTGTAGTCTGGGACAAATTTCAACATAAATAACCTTCTTGAAGTATTTCATAAGTTCTCATCTATAATTCCCTGGCAAATCTGGCTGTACTAGCCATCATACTTCAATAAATCTAAGTTCAATATGTTTCTTAAAGGCTGCAAATGCGTTTCTTGTTATTTAAAAAATACATGCGTTTCTATTGAAATGACCCATGCAAAATTAATAAAAGGATGTCATGCCAAATACCCAAAGCATTTACATTTTCTGACTGCAGAATAATACTTAGGGAGATAGGAAATTCTAAAATGGTCATCTTAATAATTTTGCTATCACTCTAATCTTTCTCACTTATAGAAGACACTAGACCAGCTGCTAGAAGTTATCATACCCGTGTGCCAACCTCTAAATTATAAAGTAAGCAAATGTGTCTTCCTTGTATTTTTTATTGCTTGTCTTTTTGGCCAGCCATCTAACCCCCACACCCCACCGGATTACCAAGGATCTACCAGAAACCTAAAGCCCTGATCTTATTATCTCTTCGTCCCTGTTCTGATACTCCATCCAGGACTATCTGATCATTCCATGTCCCCTCCTAACACAAAACACAACTGCTCTTTGTTGCATTCTCTTGGCCTTTTGCCAGCTAGCAACAATAAACCATTTTGAAGTAAGGTGGTAATAGCTGATACTACATTTCCCTCAAAAAGTATATTTGGAAGGTAACTTTTGGAGACTTCTTTCAAAGAAGTAACAGAAATTTCAGGTCTACCAATAGGATAGTGTTGACTTTAATAGGTGGTCCTCAGCACATCACAGCAGTTACTTAATATATTGTAGCTACGAGTTGTTAGAGGGAAATATGGAGCTAAATGTTCCTTCAGAGAACATGTAGCTAACTCACTTGAAAGAATTTTATTTCATTTTTCATATTTCACTTCAGCCATCCATTGTATCTCATTACGATTATTGGATTTAAAACAAAATTAAATTAAAACAATGTGTGTCAAGTCTCTTTAATAGTATATCTGTTGCTATTCAAATTCTCACATGAAAGTATATTAAAAAGTCAGTTATGAAAAACATTTATATAAAGTCCTCTGTTTTGTAAGCTGGTCTTTAAATTTATGGATTAAAGAACATTAAGGAAAACGGGAATAAAACTGCCTAGCCACCATATAATAATATACTATGCCTAAATTCTAGGAGAGAAAGGACTAATGGCATCCAGCTGAGCTATAATAGGAACATGCACACAATAGGGAAGTCAGACATGACATTCCTGAAGTAAGGGAGAAAGAGTAACTGAAATCTTTCTAAGAAGTATGAGTATGAAACATGACATGGTTTTTGACAGTAACCTCATGGGCTTTTGGAAAAAAAAAAGAATATAAGACAGCAAGCGATATTCACAAATGGAGATAATTTGATTTCATGAAATGAATGTGTACTTAGGGGTCAGACAGAACTGGATAAGAATGCCAGCTCTGCCACTTACTATCCATATCCACTTGGGAAACAAGTTCAACAAACACTTCTCTAAGCCTTCATTCTTCTATCCAAAAAATGGGAGCAGAAATGCTTGACTCACAGAATCCTTGTAATAGTTAACCATAAAATGCTTTGCAGGGTTTCTGGCACACAGAAAGCCCTATCAAGTCTTCCTTCCATACTTCCTTTCCTGCTTATGATAAATTATATTTTCTTGTTTGAATCAGATTTGATCAATAACAACTACTGTGCCTGCATTGCAGAATGTTTGTGAGGTATACCAGAACTCCTCTAGTGGAATGCTCATCATACAAGAGTTGGATTCCCTAAGCAGTTAGGGTCCTCCTCCTGTAACTCATCTACTTCATGTTCAAGTGCCACCTGGCCCTCTCCACATTCCCCAAGGGTAACTGGAGCTTAGGGAACCAATGCGAGAACAAATATTCTGGCTACTATTTGTTGTGAGTAATAAAGTCCTTTTTCTCTGACCCAAGAGTCTTGTGTCTTCTGTTCACACCAGGAAACTGTGGCTGGCAAACTTGTTTGCTTGAAAATAGAGTAAAATCTCAAACACCTCATAGTGCTTAAGGACTGTCTTTAAAAATTAGAGCTACTGTGACCATATGATAAATAAAATGAATAACGCTACCCCCCCATATACACATACATATATTCAAATCAGTGCAGTTTTTAAAAGTCCTCTACTAAATACGGGGAAACCTGATTTCAAGGACACAGGGTGTTTGACCCAATGGATATGAGTCATGGTCTGTTGAATCACTCTGATTGGCAATCTTGCAGCTGGAATACTCATCACCCAGAGCCAGGTCATATGCTGATTTCCCCTAATTTAAAAAAATAAGGAGTTCAAATAAACCACTGTGAAATGTACCTTGGCCCTCTTTGTCTCCAGTGCGCCAGTTGGGCAAATCCTCCTACCTAGTCACCTAACAGGAAGCCTGACTACGAAAATAAGACTGATCTGAAAATCCCTACCAATATTTCTTTTATACTTTAAAGTCCTTTTTTCCCTCCAATCTAGGCACTAGTGTATTCAAAAAAGAACAAGAACATTCATATCTGATGTCAGCTTTAAAGCTCCCCTTAAGGCCTCTCAGCCACCTCCTGCTATCAAATTCATTAGTGGAAAGAAAATAAAGGTGGAAGGAGGAGGAAACAAGGGTGGGGGGGGGTGAAAGATGAAAATGGGGCTGTCGTTCGCAGAGGCTTTCTAAAGGTCTTTCCTAGGTAATGATGTGCCCTCACCTGCACCTGTGTCATTCTCCAGCTTCCTCGAGTGCTTCTCCTCGTCTGTGCTGCTAACACCAGACTCGGTGTCATAGTGCTGGTGGCTGCCAGTTTCCACAGCCTCAGCGACAGTCTGTCCAACTGATTGGAGATCATAGGAAATATCAAAAGGCACAAAAACAGGTCATGGGAACATTGCTGAACTCTTTCACATCCTTTCAGCAAGCAGGGTTAATTTTAAAGTATTCACATTAAAATGTGACCTTTTCTTTTTTTAAATCTATGAAGATTAAATCGTTTCCAAGCCATGATTTCAAAAAGGAAAACACAATGGCAGATCATGAAGTAAAGAAATCCATGCAAAGAAATACTGAAAAGAGACAACAGCCAGAAGCAGTGACAGATCAGCCAAATGCACATGCAATGAAATGATGGAAAACAAGGTTTAGTTGCATTTTCCTTTCTAGAAACATATGTCATGGCTTTTATAACACCAGTCATCATGGCTTTTTGAAATTGCTAAGACTATCAGAGCTGACTATACTATGAGCATTTCATACATTCGTAGATTTTAGTGATTTTACCCCCATACTCACTCCAGGTGGACACAGCAAGAAAAGCTAGTGTATGGTTCCTATATATTCGACAGTAAAAGCTGTTGTAGAAATTCCTGTTCTCTGCAGCTGATAACCAGCCATGGAACTTCAGAAACACAATGACCTAAGTTCAAGTCCCATACTCCATACCAACCATGTCATCTTCAGGAAGTTCTTTGACCTAAGCCTAAGCCTCAGTTTACCCATCTGTCAAAAAAAAGATACCTACTCAGTGGTTATTGGAAGGATTAAATAAAGAAATATATGTAGTACATGCTTATCTTTACTTATAAGGAGGTGCCTAAGCACTTAATAAATAATAGCTATGATGATGATGAGCATGTTGATTATAAGTATTACCAACCAATCTGGTATGATTCTAGGCAACACTATAATATCAATTAAATTTGTCTTTAATTTCTGACATGTCCCTGTCTACATCCCTTACCTATCATCCAATGATCCATGTGCCTAAATCCCAAACACCTACCATTGTGCCACCTTCTGGTGAATTAAAGCTCACTCGAATAACACTAGACCAAGACCTGCCCCCCACCCCCCAGATAAGAACATGTCTCCAAAATACCCTTTCCTTCCTCCCTCCCTTTCTCCCTCCCTCCCTGCTTTCCTGGCTGCCTGCCTGCCTGCTTTCCTTCCTGCCTACCCTCCTTCCTTCCTTCCTTCCCTTCTTTCTTTTTTTCTCTCTTTCCTCTCACATATTCTGGTTCAATTGATCCAAAAACTGTACTTTGAGAAAAACAGAACTAAAATGAGGTCTCTTGCACACTTTAAGGTGAATTGCTAAAGGGTAATTAGTTACTTATTGATTCATCTGTGTTTAGAAGCAAATAGTAAAATGTCTGCCTCATGTGGCTTTTGGGGACAAAAATGGAATGACTTAACTTTATGAATATTAAGAGAATAAACATGGAAATGAAAAGAGGTATATCAAATAATTCAAATTCTATTTTAAATAATTGTTTAACAACAACTTTCCTCATTCATCTGATAACCAAATAAAAAAGATTTTTATAATAATAAAGTTTAGAGATGACATCAACTGATGACAATTTGATTATAGTAGGGTTTATTATCAAACAAACCTTTATTTTAGGAACTTGTGAACATTGTACATATAATTAAATATCATCTTGCCCACTGTAATAATATAAACAGTGTTAACCAATGAGTTTAAACATGCAATGTTTTAGGTCCTTGTGTATAAATCTGCTTGGCTAATTGAGCAATAGTAATCCCAAAGATGGTAGGACAGGGGGATGGGAGCAAGACTGATTTCACAACAATGATTTGAAGTTTTGTTTCATCAGAGCCTACGAGGTACCTGGATTTTTTTCCCCGGTAGCCATAGACTATAAATAAGTATGGTTTATCATATGAATATCAAATCCTTATGTTATACACCTAAAATAATATACATCAATTATACCTTAATAAATTTTTAATGAAAAATGGCTTATCATCATCATCATAATAATAATAATAATTAATTAAAATAAACAATTAGCAGCTATTGAACCAAAGACTATTCTAAGAAGCCAAACGATACTAGCATAATTTGGAAATTACAACTCACTCAGAATGGACAGTGAAGCATATAGTCCCTCTGTCTCAGGACTGTCCTCACCACCTGGCCACGTCTCCTGGCTTGCCCCTGGAGGGTTAGGCTTTGGAAGTAGATGAGAAGGCTTTTGGAAGTAGATATACAGTTAGGTGTTGCCTGCTTCAGATTCAGCAAGAATGGGACCCTGGCCTGAGCATCAAGGACTTATGAGGTGTGAGACTAGAAAAGTCCTCCCTTGGTCATTTTTTTTTTCCTCAGATGTTCTGAAACTGAAACTTAAAAGCAAGAACTTGGCCAGGGTCTAACCTTGAGGGTTTCCACCTCGAGGAAATGAGGACTGTGCCCGCTGAGCCCAGCGCCAGCACTGTAATACATCACTTTGTGTTCTTAACTACTTAGCCCTTGACCCCCTGAGGCTCCTCGCCTTCCCTCTCTGTAAAGATGACCATTAAAAGCAAAGGAAACTGTCTGTTCTCACAGCCTTCAAAGCAAAGTGGAAGAGGCATGCTCTGAGAATTCTTAGAAAAACGCTTTTCCACTCAAATAGTATAGAATATTTTAAGATGTTTTTTAAATACCAAAATATTATTATCTGATATTAGCTTTTTTATTATGAAAACAAACATATTTTAAAATAATATATACAGTACTTTCCCAAAATAGGGAAATAGTACATATCCTTATTTAAAGCTTCATAAGATTATAAGGTATAAAAAAGAAACAGAAGTTATCCTAGTTTCACCACTCAGAACTACTAGTTAACATTTGAGTGGATCTCGATTATCTTTTTTACTCTCCTCTTAGTATAGATAGCATTTTTTTAATATAGCAATATATTGTGACTATTTCCGCATATCATTAAATAAAAAAAGATTCCTCAGTAACTACATAAAAGTTCTAATAGGTTTTTACTAAAATGTGGTTAACCAGTTGCCTGATGTTGAATATTGAGTTATTTCCATTTGTGTGTGGGTGTATATGTGATTATAAAGCTATTTTAAATACCACTTACAATCATTTTTGTATTTTTTTCTGACTATTCCCTTAGGGCAAATTCCTGGAATTGGAATTGCTGGCTCAAAGAGCCTATTTTTAGAAGCTTTTGATATATGTTTTTATATGTTCTTCAAAAAAAGGAGGTATCAACAAACGATTTCACCTGTAATGATGGAAAAGTCTGTATGACCCTGCACATTGCCAACAATGTCACAATTTCCACCAACTCTTTCTATAATTTTGTAATTGAAAATTGGTGGCAAGGATATCATTTTCAATATTAATAGGCAAGCTTTCTATAATCATTCCCGCTTCTCCACTTGTTTTGAAACAAAACAAACTGGATCCCATCTGAAAACATACTAATAACACCGAGCAACTCACTAACAGAAGAAAGTTTTAAAGAGGAAACTTTTCATCTGAATTTTAAGAATGTAAGAAGCTATAAAGGAAGAGTAAGATCTATCCAAGTTTATCCCAAGTTCCCCAGTGACCTTGAATACCCTGCATGTGATTTGATCATTCTTTGTGTAGCCAATCAATTACCTTCCCAGCAAGCCACCATGACAGACTTCGTGACTAACACCCTCTACCTACGCAGTGAAGATGTGCCTGCTCTTACCTCTGGCATGGCAACATGGCCCACACAAACCCAGGACTAATTACAAACTCAAGCCCACAGCTGTTCAGAGAGAACAGCTGCAGAGAGCTAACATCTATCCTCCATGCAGTACAGAATAGTAGAGAATCCTCTTTCTGCAACTTTCAGATCACGTCATTTGCATGTTCAAACCGTTCTATCTTAGAATGCAATCCTCCCGAGATGGCATACAAGTTTCTCCCTCTGCCTCATCTTCCGCCATTTTCTAGTTCATCTGTTTGTTTGCACCTGTCACACCAGCCTCCCTTCCGGAAGCTTCACTCAGCAAGGATGCTCCCTATTTAAGGTTCAGCGTCCTCGAGTTTGCTCTTCCCTCTGCTTCCTGTGGGCTTTCTCCAGCTGGCAGGGTGCCTCTGCCCTGCACTTCCTGATGGTCTCTGCTCAAATGTCCCCTCATCAGAAAGGCCGTCCCTAAAATCCACCCCTTCCTCAAACCATTACTCTGTCCTCTTACCCTGATTGGTTTTTCTTCTACACTTAGTCCAGAATACCCCAGTACTTTAGACCTCAACTCACAACACATGATGGCCTTATTCTCTCCTCAGGACCATCTAACTTGCTTGCATGACGATCAGACCGCATATGGTTTTACATTACTTAGGTTTAGAAAGCTGGCCAAGCATGCTGACATCCTCTCATTCACATATAAAAGCATAAAATGCCTGCTGCCATATACATTTTACAGTATACTTTATAATATTCTACTCTTACATTTTATTTATATTTGTAATGTATAAATTATATTACTTCCCAAATTAATCTACCTAAATTGTTCCACTAGTAGAACACAAAGCAAAGATCATGTCACAGTGCATTAAGACAGCTTAAAATGAAGATAACAGAGAAAAATAAACACATTAAAATAACACTATGCCCTATCATCCTGAATTGCCTCCCAAGGACATTGTCCCATTGTAGCTGGCAATTACAATCTTTTACTTTACCCACTTCACTAGATGCCACACATCTTTTATATCAATTCACCTGATTTGTTGGTGGACTGGACAAAGCCCAATTAAGTGAGACATATAAAATAGAAAGAAAAATATCACCTTATGTTATCAATCTGAAAGGTACAAAGGTACTGAATATAGAACTTAACTACTTTATCCACGGCTATGATCTTAAGTGAAAACAATTCAGATAAAGTTGTATTCGTTGGGACACTATAAAACATCATTAACTGATTGTAATTTTGTAGCCCACAGACCTGTTCCTAACATAATCACAGTTCATAATTCAACACCAAACAAATATGAGAGAGAATCTTCTATACATTATCTCGGCCCCCATTTTGACCTAAGGTTCTAATCAGAGATCTAAATAAAATAATACACATTTCACTCTTTACCATGCCTTCTGATTGAATGCAGCATGGTCACCTACATGACCTTCTTCTCAAGCATTAACTTTGGTTCCATCCCTCTCACCCTGATCCATCTAACAGAAAACTCCATTAAGAAAGAGGAACTAGTCATAACCTCTTTGCTTGGCATCAAGCAAGTCAAGACCTAGTTTATTTTATCTGAAATTTTCTTAGAAATATTTATTCATATAAGGGAATTTGAGACTATTTCTGACCTCTCTTTATCTATTATTTTAAATATTTACACATTTACTGTATCATTTCCTTAAATATACTTAAAAACATCAGCACTCAAGAGTTATAATCTACGCCTCCTTGGTTTTTGATAGCATTAATCCTTCTACATCATTCCGAATATTTTCCATTTTTTAAAAATCTATTAATGTTTCATTTTCCACTGTACTTTTTCCCCTCTGCCTCTAGGCCTCCATAACCCAGAAATTTTGTTCTTTTGTGGAAGATGGGCCATAGAACAAATCTATCGGTTCTTGCACAGAAGGCAACATATTTTTAAGAAAATTTGCAAAGTTATAAAGTACTAAAGCAATAAGTAGAATACTATTATAGCGAATAAGAATAAAGTATAGTTATATGTGCTAATATGAAAAGGTATTGAAGACACAGTATTAAGTGAAAAAAAAAGCAAGTGGTAAAACAAAATGTATCATGTTTCTATCTATCTATAAAAAGAATGTATGTATATATGTAATATATGAATATGTTTTCATATATGTATAGAGAGAAATTTTTCTGGAATCAGGTCTAAAAAAATATTTCCTGCAGATATGACTCTGTTGCATGGGAAAGAGTAGAGGTGGGACAAGGAGGACCAGCTTTCTTTTCATTCTCTCTGTTCTATATTGTTTAAACTTTTCAACCAATCCTTTGTAAGAAAAAATTTTTATCAAAAGCCTTAATAAGTGACCTAGAAATGATACTCTTAGGAACCTAACCTAAGAAAATAATTATAGATTTTAAGTTACCTTAGGTCATAAGATATTAGAGTACTATTAATAATAGGGAAAATAGGGAAAAATATAAATATCAATAATAGGGGAATGGTTACCTTATATGAAAACCACAGAATGGGATGACACACAGATATTGAAGATTACATAATAACAAAACATGCTTATGGTATAACAATAAGGATAAAAAGCAGGATACAACATGTTATAAAAATTATGACAACATGACTTTGTAAGCCCTAAGTTTAGAAATCAAAAAACTGACCACATATTGAAGGTGATTTTTGGGTGTGCGCTAAACCTATGGGTAATTTTTTTAAAATCTACTCTTCTCTATATTCTGACTGTTATTTCATGTTATGTCATAAGCAGTTAATGAAAAATAAACACTGACAAAGAGACCTGCTACATTTATTAAAGCTTAAGAAAGATAAAAAGTCACAAACCTTTCCACCTAGTGTCAAACCTACCTTAATAAAAAGATAACAAAATGCTTTAGAATTATAGATGTTATCTAGTCAAGAACACAGACTTCCCATAATATGTAAGAAAAATGATAAACCTACACACTTTTCATTTCACACATTCAGAAAAAACCCACCTCACTTTCTTCCAAGTGGCATGATCCTAGTCCAATGTTTCTGCTATTCCATCCATCACCTAAATACAACCTACACTACATGCATCTTGCTTTACGAAAAGATGTCTAGGTACACAAGGCCAGGTACACAATCTAGTTTTCTGAAGTGGAAGTTAAAGAAATAACAATGTCACTGTTCCTACTGAACTTCAACATCTCTACCTTTTGTGGGCAGCAGCTTGCCAAGTTGTACAAATTTCCTCAATGGTACATTATATGTTCTAGAACTGAACAATGAAATCCATGATCAAAGACTTGAATTATTTTGTAAGAAATTTTCAAATATATTTTAACGAGGATCTTAACTCCTGTATGGAAAAACCTCTTTGAAAAATCTCAGAGGTCTTTAATCCCAGGGGAGAAGTTGGCAAACTTCTTTTATAAAGGGCCAGAGAATGCATTCTTAGGGCCTTGTGAGCTATTAGGAGGTTTCTGCTGCAACTACTTAATTCTGTCCTTGCAATGCAAGAGCAGCCATTATTAATATGTAAACCAGTGAGCATAGCTCTGTTCCAATAAAACTTTATTTTCTGACACTGAAATTTGAATTTAATTTTTTTGTGTCACCACATATTATCCTTTTGATTTTTTTCAAACCACCGAAAGACTTTAAAAACAGAACATTTTTAAAACATTCTTAACACTGCAGGAGGAGGAAAAAATGCAGTAGGCCAGATGGGGCCTGTGGATCGAAGTTTGTCAGGCTGTATATTCTAGAGTTATTTGAATTTGCTACACCCCACTATCTGGAATGCTTTTATCTTCCTCCATTCAATCTTAAAAATCGTATCTAACCTTTAAAGGCTTCCTCAAAAAAATCCTTCACAAAAACATTCAAGGTGTACTTAACCAAATGGGACTTGCCCTTTCTTTTGAAACGCCATAGCATTTGTACCTTCTCTGGCTTTATGAATGATTACTGACCTTTGTCCAATTATTGGTGTGCCACGCCTTCCCCTTAACATGTGATGGGAGGCACCCTCTCTTACATATTTCTTATTGACCATGGTGCCCTGTACGTAATAGAAGGTGAATAATACTGATAATTGAAAGATAACTATTCAACATCCTCAACTCCTAGATGTAGGCCCCAGTGGTTTAATAACAGCTTTTAAGGTCCTAAAAAAAAAAAAAAAGTTAGAGACATTAAAAGTATTCATAAGCTTTAAAACAGATGATTTTAGTAATATTAAAATGTGAAAACAGATTTTAGCTTGGAATTGAGAAGAATGCCCACCATGTTGGCAGGGGAGACAGATTAAGAGAACAGGGAAGGAGAGGAGTGACAGAACCAAACATCTGGCAGGTATGATCCAGCTGTCCATAGGACACAACTTGGTCCTTTAACTGTACCCTAAAATTGAGGAAGGCATCAGATCTTCCATATCTTGAAAGTCCTGAGACCTGATTATCGTGGGACACTCTTCACTCTTCCCATGTCAAATGGAACTGTCCTGCATACTCACCCAGGGACCACTGTGTCAGGAAGTCACTCAGTTTCAGAGAAAAACTCAAAGTTTGGAGTTTTCTATGAAACTGTCATATTTTTATCTAAGTTTAAATTCCTACTGCACAGATACAATAGAAAAATCTTTAAAAACCAGAGCCACTCTGCTTGAATTTAAATCCTAGGAATGCTTCTTCGGGGCTATATAATCTTCATAATTTACTTGACCTCTCTGAGCCACAATTTTGTCACCTGTGAAAAAAAGACATGATGATAAGAGAACCTAACTCAGGGGATACTGGGCAGTTGTAGGGAGTAGATGAGTTAATATAAGTAAGTGTTTAGAACTGGCACATCGTGAGCACCTACCAATGTTAGATGTGTGTGTGTGTGTGTGTGTGTGTGTGTAGAAGTGCATATATATATATAGCTAAGAAGAAATAGTATTTCTAGTATTAAGTAACCTCTAAAAAGCCACACATACCCTTGCCTTCAGACATATAATGTGTTTTATTTGATTCTTGAGATAGAATTAACACAAGAAGGAATTTACAGAAAATAGGAAACAAGCTATATAAGATTTATCAACTTTTAAAATGCAATAGAAGGGACACAGCAAGCTGAAACTACATGTATGATTATGTGATGAAGAGAGGAATAAGAAAAAAATTGAATGCCTCTGGCATTATCACAACTGTATTTCCCAAGCTTTGGCAGAAACCAAATAGTTTCCATGCATGGAACAATGGCAGGTCAACTCAATGGCCATACTTACCATCTTTTTCCACCCTACGGGGACCTGCCTTTTTGTCCTCCACCTTAGCAGTGCTTCCTTCCCAAAGCTCACTCTTATCCTTTTCTTTTTCTTCTGTGGAAAGACGTTCCCTGGACTTCTCAGATAAGCCCTCGGCAATCACTTGTGTTCCTTTCTCCGTTTCTTCTTCAAGAACATTCTCCAAGTGTTCCTCTATGGGCAGAGGTTTGGTCTCTACATCCGCTGTTATGATTTCTTGGTCTTCGATTTCAACTTCTAAATAATCCTCCATTGGAAGCTGGGATTTTCCTGGCTCATCACTTTCACTCAGCTCCTGGGAAGATGAACTCCTGGCCCTTCTGTTCGGACTGTTTCCAGTGTGGGCTCCTCTATCTCCCAGGGCAGACTCATCACTGCAACTAGAACATGGGTGACTTCTGGAGGAGGAGGATGAAGCAGTCTTTATACCTAAAAAATTAAAATGATGACATCATTGTTTTTCCATAAAACAACTGGTTTAATTGTGGGAATTAGGTTAATAATAATTATCCTAAATTTTTAAAATATAGGTTCATAGATTTAGTACCGTTTTCACATATATTGCACATAGCTGTCAAGATAAAGAAAAACCTATGTAATCTGTGAGTCTCCAGAAGTTTTTCTTTCTTATAAAGATTATTTATTTATTTATTTATTTGAGAGAGAATGAGAGTGAGCGAGCATGAGCCAGAGGGAGGAACAGAGGGAGAGGGAGAAGCAGACTCCCCACTGAGCAGGGTGCTCAACGTGGGGCTTCATCCCAGGACTCTGAGATCGTGACCTGAGTCAGAGGCAGTTGCTTAACTGACTGAACCATCTAGGCAGCCCTCTAGATGTTTTCAATAGGAAATCACATTTAGCTGAAAACCAAATGTATGTATATATGTATGTATGTATGTATGTATTTTTGAAAGCCATTTTATTGGAAAGTCTTTGTATCTATTTCATTGTAGAAGAAACGGAATACTCTTACTTGTTCAGTAAGAGTGCTTATTCATTATCATGTTGATCAGCCACAGTATTCTCTGTGCAAAAAACTTAAATTTTTATCTACTGTAATACCAACCATATCCAGCTAGCAAGGTGGACTAGAAAGATCAATGCATCCGGATAATACCAAGACACTTTAAAGATATTCTGAGGGGATGCTTGTGTGTGCATGTGTGTGTGTGTGTGTATGTGTGTGTGTAGGAGGACATGTTTTCTTATTCCAGGTTTCCCCAAAGCAGATGCTGAGGTCAGGGTTCATGTGATATATTAAAGATATGATCCAGGAGAAACTCTTACAGATGTAGGTGAAGCAGGGCAGGGAAGGCAAGAGGTCAATCAAGGGAGCTATTTCAAGCAACATCTCAACCTCAGCCTGATCCCACAGGGACCTCTGAGGTCTAGATTATATTAGAATTGTTCCTCTCTTGAGGAAGGAGTCGGGCTTTCATACTCTGTTCCAGTCAGAGGTGGCTATCACCTCCCACCGCCCCCCGCCCCCCCCCCCCGTCCCCAAGGGAAGGTAAACTCCTTGGCTTTTCCAGACTCTTTGTCTGGGCAAGTGAAGCAGCTCTGCAGCCCAGGGCTATCCTCCGAAGGAGGAAGAGGGTTGCCAGAGCTGGGAGATGGGACATGGAGTCCCATCTCCATGATGGGACAAGTCAGAGGGCTTCTAGAAGATGGAGGCCGTGTGCTGACAGGGTGCTACCGATACACAGACTAGATTGACTAAAACTGGAAATGGTTTCGTACTTACTACCCACAAGCCCTTTCAAAAATCTCCAAGAAAGCCACATACACACTGAATCTCTGGAAGGAAGACGCGCAGCCTGAAAGTCACAGCGTAAGCTGGGGCCAGAGAAATACAAACTTGCTTCTGAGTTTTTCACCAACAGATCTGTGTTTACAGTAGTTTTTTATAGACTATATTTTCAAATGAAATAGCCTACACTTAAATGCTGCCTAGCTTTCTTGTTTTTTTCTGCTCTGTGTGCTCCTTACTCTTTTCTGTTCCTTTTATTTCTGTTTGGCAGCTACACAGATGGCTGTAGCAGCTGATACAGACTTTAAGGGAAGAAATACCTGTCTTTCCTCTTATCCTTTCCCTTCACACCCTCCAGCCCAAATGACTCTCCATGACAGGGCTTAGAATTTTAAGTATAGTCACAGACACTTATCAGAGTTTCCACAAAGATTTGAGAGATGCTACACGGCAGTAAAGAAACAAACTCTAAAAAGCCTTTAAGCAACAGAACCCCTTCAGTATGATTCCATTTATTCTTATCTCCCAACCGTTTTGACAGGCACCAGATGACCACTGTTTCTCAAAGGAACGCATACCTTAACCACTCATTCTTTATCTCCATTTTATAAAATCTGCCTCTCAGTAGGGAACACAGCAGATCAAGGACGGTTGTTCTCTATCTCATTTGTACTTGTACTTCAGAAACTTAAGGGACTATGATCTCACCCTCTCTTAAGCATCTCACATTTTTTTAAAAAAGAAAAACAACTCATATTTGCTAGTTGTTCAATCAATAGCTCTCATTAATTGCACAATTAGCTAGAAGGCAATATTATGCTTGCTCTGTACTCTCCCAAATATTCAAATCTATCATCTTTAATAGATATCATGACTCACTTTTGTCTCTGAGAGTTGTTCACATAATAAGAAAAATGAGCGTTCCCCTACCTTTCTTTCATAGCTCCTATTAATTGTGTTACTTTATTTCAAAAGGCTGAAATACACTCTGGTTCATTTTGAGTCAGTCCCTTGGAGAAGAAAGATCAGGAGAATGAACGGCCTTCAAGAGGCAAGGGTACCTGACCTCTCATATAAACTCATTTCAGTTTTCCAATTTCTCTCTAACCTTGCTGTGCAATTTAGTTTCCCTCTCATTTCTTTCTCTCATTTTCATGCAGACACTGGGGCAAGACTTTGCCTACAAATAAAAACTCAAAATGTTTCAGGGCCATGGAATGGGATTTTCATCACTAATTTTATTTATTGTCTTAGAAATGAAGCAAGTTTTTATATAGAAATTTTTGTCTAAAAGAACCTTTTACATGAAAGAACTCTGAGGGCACATACTTAATATTTTGTGTCAGTAGGAGGGAAAAATTATCTTGAAGGTATGTTAGTAAGCAAAGCTGGCTCCCACCCAATTCTGTTTGTCTCTGCATGGCTCCCTTTAGGAACTGAAGCTAAAAGTATCTGTTCTTGATCTTTATGGTAAAGAAATGATGTGCACTGGTTGGTGCAGCACCTTGAGTCCATGCCCTGTGAGGCATTTCTGACTTTCCACCCTGCATTCAATCAGGCTCCAAACCCTTGACTGTCTTCTCTCTTCGTGTCACTGATAACTGTTCCTTTTTTTGCATCACTACTATTTCATACAACATGAGACTGAGAGAAAATAATATGTTCCTCTGTAAGATGAAACTAGGTACTTCAATCATGACTTGGCTGCTGACTAGCTTTGACTTTGACTTCCACATACCTCCCTAAGCCTCTGTTTTCTTGACTGTAAAATGGGGCTAATTCTCTCTGTAAGTCACTGCAGAAATTACATGACACAAAACCAAATAATGATTTTTTAATGAATTCCAGCCTTACCCCTCTATGGAGTCACACACGTTAAGTATAGTCTAATGCATTTCTTTCTTGATTTCACCCTGTGCATTATATGAAGAAAAGTAATTGCAGTAACCATTTGCTGAGGAAAAGTAAATAAATAAAAACATAATCATGATTATGTATGCACTTACTGCATACCAAACATGGAGGTAAGCACTCTACAAATATCTCATTTAATCCCATGGAATAGCTATCTTCTTTTTCTAGATCTAGAAAGTAAGGGGAGCACCTGGGTGGCTCAGTTGGTTAAGCATTCAACTCTTGGTTTCGTCTCAGGTCATCATCTCAGGGTGATGAGATCGAGTCCCGCTTAAGTCCCCTGGCCCATCGCAGAGTCAACCTGAGATTCTCTGCCTTTCTCTCCATCTGCCCCTCTCCCCTCCACTCACACTCGTTCTCTCTCTCTCAAATAAATAAATTAAGTTACATTAATTTTAAAAGAATGTAAGGCCCAGAGAAGTTAAATAATACCCAATGCCCATTAGCTATAAAGTAGCAAGTTTTGTAAAACATATTTTTTGTATTGACTCACTATAGTAAAACCAAGATTACTCTACTTGCCAAAAGGCCTTCAAACAGAGAGCACCCACTGTCACAGACCTACTATTGCTTCTCTTAACTAACTTTGCCACCCCAGGATGACAAATGGAAAATAGTTCTCTTATGTGTCAAGCAACGTGCTAGGTTTTAAGGACACAGTAGAGAAAAAAGCAGGCCAGGACCCTGCTTCCACAGGGATTACACACTCTATCCAGACACTGCCTCCTTTTGCACGAGCACAATAGATCAACTGTGCGTGTTCCCTCAGGTGTTTGTTCATTCTCCTCACAGTGACCATGGACAGCTCTCTCAGGAGCTGCTGTTATACTCCTCACTGTTCTCAGCAGCTTTATTATCTGTTTTGAACAAACTGTAAGCCCTGATCTTTGTTTTGAATCATTTCTCACCTCCTAGCATAGAGCATGGTTTTACTATATTTTAAATTCACCGTTTTCTTCATTAGTGCCCTGATTTTAACTCCTTTGTTTTGGGTTCACTAGCTTGAGGCCCCATGGACACTTTAAGTGCACAAACTCAGTACAAATACGTAAATTCAGTCAAAAACAACTAGCTTTCACCACAACCCAATGGATCTTATACCCCTCCAAACTAATATAGACTGCATCTCTCTCCCATTCTTTGGTCTGAGGGTTCACAACAAAATCTGCGTACATGTTGCTCCTATGGTCTTCAAATTGGCTGTGACACACAAATTTACACGTCCTACTATTACTCATATAAATAGTCCTATCTTGATTATACACAGGAGCTCATAAAAATCTGTTTTTATTTTATATTAGATACTGTGGTTTAGTCAATATTTTCATGTACAATAATGCCTAATTAGACAAGTGCTCCATACTCATAAATATTGTAGATTGAATGTATGTTTAATGAAAATAAAAGTAGAAATCATTAAATTCTAACTATAAATGGTAACTAGTTATTTGTCTTAGGGGAGAGCATATGTCCTCACACTGATAATTCATGACTCAATTCATCAATGAGACAAATGTACACATTACTTTGTAAGAATAAATATCTACAGGTAAATGCAGTTCTAGTAGGAGGAGATGAAAAAATTGAAAAAGCTTAAATTTCCTCCATAACTACCTTTATCTGCACTTTTTAAAACATTAAAATGAATACTTAAAATCCTGAGAATATAATCAAATCCTGTGTCACACTGTGCTGCCTAAGTCCTTTTACATTTATCCACTAAGATTAAGATTTTATTGGGTAGCCCAATAATACCTTTGTTGTATACAAGGCAGATTCAAAACTGTAGAGAAGAACCTCAGAGGAAAATGTTTTATGTGGACAAAAATGATTCTGAATTTAAAAGTCACGACTTCCTACTTCAGTAATCAAAATGTGAATATAGATTGAGGAATTCTGACTTTTCAGAAAAATTAAATTTTGACAATCATGCAAAAAAAAACCCCAAATCAGACATATAGATGCTGACCAGAAGGCCATCTACAGGCTTCCCCTAGGCCTCTCTGTTCAAGGAAAAGTCAAGTGACACTGACATCCACTGAATGTGTTTTCATAGCACCTATAATTTCAACATGGAAGGAGAAGCCTCCCCTCATATGCTTCTCATCATTAGTCAGGCCAGGAAATGAAGAGCGAGATTCCTGAAGTCAATAAGTAAATAGAATATTTTTGTGATTCTGGAATTTTAAAAGTCTATAAGTTTCTTCAATATAAATATATGCTGACTGTAGGGAAAATAGAACAAGTGAACTATTATCTTTCTTACTTCAAAAACCATTTGCTTTAATTCTTATATTCGATTCTTTGCAATTCTGGGAAGAGATTCTCTCTCTTTCTCTCTCACTCTCTCTCTCTGAAATCTTTCTCATAAGAAGCTATTGATTCTTGGGGCTCCTGGGTGGCTCAGTGGGTTAAAGCCTCTGCCTTGGGCCCCAGGTCATGATCTCAGGGTCCTGGGATTGAGCCCCGCATTGGGCTCTCTGCCCAGTGGGGAGCCTGCTTCCCCCCTCTCTCTGCCTGCCTCTCTGCCTACTTGTGATCTCTGTCAAATAAATAAATAAAATCTTAAAAAAAAAAAAAGCTATTGATTCTTTACCTCTTACTCAGAAGCATTATCATCCAAACTGTCCATGAAAGCATAAAAGTATATTCTCAACGACATGACACTTTTCCCCTCAACCTTATAACATTCATCGATGACAATATATTTTCAACTAGTGACTTAGTGCCTGGGGTTGCCAACACAAATGCAGAGAAAAAGAAGCTGTCGTTCTTTTTAAACGATGGAAAGTGTTACACGTCATGCCTAAACCAGAGTGCTCTCTTCGTGGCTCTCTTCCCTAGCGCTCATCACTCATGGGCTGCTCAGCACAGAGCATTCATCAAGGCGTGCCCATGCCATTGTGAGCCGGCACTTTAAATGGGGCCGACTTGTCACCAGAGTGACAGCCTGGGCAATTGTTTGCCCTCTGGGAACAGGTGCAGGCAGGTTCAAATGAAACACGTCCAAATACTAACAGCAAGATTCTTAATCATGTCAGTAAAAAGGATGAACTGGTGTCTCAGACTCAGTGGTCACAATATGCCTCTTACTCTTCTGAAGATGAAATGCTGTCTGGCTTTTTAATAGAGTGTTCCAAGGAACCCACTGTGTCATTATCATTTTTAATACATGCTACTTTGTTTGCTGGATGAAATCTCTAATTCAGATACTCTGCATGCTAAAAGGAATGTTTCTGAATAACACGAGGCCAGGTTATCAAAATCAAGGGATGGGAAATAAAAGAGCTGGGAGGTAGAGGAAAGAAAGAGTAATAAGCAATGAGATTTTATTTCAAAATAATGGCAAAGTTTTAATGTAAATACCAAAAATGCAAAAGAGCTCTTAATAATATCATTATTGAAGCAACAAAATAAAATAGTTGGCAAATTTAATTTCTGGCTCTTAAATTTCCCATTTGCAGGCTAGATTTTATATGTTCTAGTAGATTTCACTATGTACCTCTTCAAAAATATTATATATTCTCTACCCAATAATGCAGCTAACTATATACAATCTTTTCCAATAAAATTCTAAGGTGCTTTTATTTGTGGCGAATAAAAGCATCTTAGTGTTCTTGTGTTAAAACAGTCAAGTAACTGCATAATATTTACAAAATGTCTTTGAGGAAATCACCTCTGTGAAGAGTAACAAAGACAATATACAGTCCTGGCTTTCAGAGTGTAACAATTTTGTGTTATTAACTTGTGTAATTAATTTGACGGGTAAAATTTAATATATGAAACAATAAGAGATAATGAATAAGAGAATAATGAATTACTGAATGATAGTGTTATAAACTAAGGAGCTCAGTGAAAGCTGGCAAGGTAGGAGAGTGTCACGGAGGAGGAGGGGCCTCCGCTGGAACTGAGCTCAATGCCTGGGAGTAGACAGGGAAATCCATCCAGGGAGGAGAAAGGTCAATTGGAGTAAAAGTAGAAAATGTCCATTTTTATGTCCTTTCTTCAAAAATAAAACAACAACAACAACAACAACAAAAAGACTCTAGAGAAGAAGATGAAGAGCTCAAGTGCCTCAAAAATGTAGTCTTGAGGAAGGAGAATCCTTTTTTGGGGGGGGGATTTGCTTTACTTTTAGATAAAGAGATATTTTCTCATTTGGAACAATATTATATTGTTTCTCCAAAATCCAGGCTCTGATGTTGGGTAATGTTTTTATGTCTTGGTTCCACTGCTTTTTCTGGTTGTGTGAGTTCCTTGGAATCCCACCATATCCAAGTTTATGTATTTGTAAAATGGAGATAAAAAGTACCTGCTTTTCAAGACTGTTTGAGGTCAATCAGATAATTCATATAAAATACTTAACACAGTACTTAGTACAGAGTCTTAATAAACAATACCTTCTGGATCCCTTTCCAAACATAGGATTCCAATTATTTATATGCAAGCAGTATTCAGTGTTAAAGCTTACCTATTCTGTCAGTTATTCAATGACCACAGGTCTAAGTGATTAAGCTTTCCCTCCAAGGAAGATCCAAGTACTGCCTACATCCCTTTCTGTTTGAACATAAAAATTTATTGTTTTAGAAAAAATCCATCTGACCCTAAGAAAATAAGATGATTATGTATCACAAAAATAATCCCAGATGACCAAATATTGAAAGAATGTGCTGAATCTTCATGAAATCAACACTAGTTAGTTCCCCACCATTACTGAAGAAATGAAAAACTGAGTCCCTGTGTTTTGAACCAGTTATATTTACAAGCAAACACATGTTTAGTTCTTTTCCAGGTTCAAGTCACTCATATAATTTATTCAAAATTTGATTCATGTGATTTTCCATAGAATTCCTTCACTTTCTCTATGCCATATAGGAATATAAACTTAAATCCAATATTCACATTCAAATTGAGAAAAAACCTTATATATTAAGCATGCCTGGAAATATAAAATATAAGTATTAAGAGAAATTAGAGAAAGGGCCTCGTTTAGACTTTATAAAAAATGTTTCAATGTCTGGCCATTAATCTTGAGTGGGTATTTCAACTATAATAAAAGTGACAGCAAATTTTGTTTTTGAGTTTACTAATAGCGAACATCATTCTAAATTTTCATGGTGCTTCACTCTTTGCTTTGACTGTCATGAAACTCAGGATAAAATTTTTAGTTCAAGCTTAGTGATTGTCCTACCTACAGATCCTAGTAAAATTATCTTCTCTTTTACTCTAAACAGTCTCTGTATTTTATTGCCTTAATGTGTGTGCATGAAATTTTAGAATAGGTTTGCTTAAATTATTTCTTGAAGAGAGCGTAACTAAAATATGTTCTCTTATGATTACTTGGTTACTGAATTTACTCTTATTTTATATTATCCCAATATACTACTCTAATTCAAAATTTTGAATTTTGTACTGTAAAAAATGTTGAGAGGAGGAAAGAATGGGGGAAATGGACAGTAATTTAAAAAGTTGTCATGGGGTGCCTGGGTGGCTCAGTCAGTTGGGCATCTACCTTTGGCTCAGGTCATGATCCCAGGGTTCTGGGATGGAGCTCCGCATTCCTGCTCTGAGGAGAGTCTGTTTCTCCCTCTCCCTCTGCCCACCTCTACCCCTACTTGTGTGCCCCCCTCCCCATCAAATAAATAATTAAATCTTTAAAAAAAAAAAAAAAGTCCTCATAATGTGACCTCATTCTCCAGCCCAAAGCAAACTACAAAGACATACATATCTGTATAACTAGTAAATACCCTCAGTGTACCAGGAGAGATCTCAGATTAACTAAGAATCACATAACCTTGGTCAAACCCTTTTATGGGACAGCAGGAATTGGTTCCTTCTTTGACTGAATATTATTTCGGGAAACTAAGTTCTTTTAAAAAGTCTTAAAATGCTTGAAATATGCCTCAGATGATAAGGGCAACTTTCTCTACCTGAAAACCTTTCTATATTTTCTCCATGAACATTCAAAGTCACTTTTGGCTTGCAGACTGGGAGAGAGCTGCCTTTGCCAAGAGAGATAATTCCTCCATGAAACTTAGATGCCAGCACCCTGTGTACAAAGTAAGTGAAGACAATAAAGTGAACTTGGGCAGGAATCTCAAACTTTCCCTTTAACTGAATGGAAGATACTTCTCATTTTTCCAAGGGTATAAAATGGTGTGCACACACATGCATGCACATGGGTGTGTGTGTGTCTAAATATGTATGTAAGAGGGAATACTTTGGGATTTGGAAAAAAAAAAAAGGAGTAACTTTCTAAGTAAACAGAAGGCATGTCACTACAAGCTTTACTGAGCCCTGGTGAAAAATCTCAGCAAACTAAGGAAAGAAGGGATTAAGGAGTGACCCCATAAATTAGGTATTTATGGAAGACTGATCACCATCCTCTGGTTAGGGATCCAGGCTCTAAATGTTCGCTTAAAAGAGGATCATCCCATTAAATGTGAAGGAAAGTAGTGAGTGCGCATGGTGAACAGCTCATGTCCCATGACCTGGGCAACAACTTGCCTTGTTTATCCTCCTCCAACTCACTGTCAGAGCACCCATCACCTTCATCTTTTACATTGTCGTCAGCATCTGCTGCCTTTTGCGACGAGGTTTCACTCTCCTTTTCAGGGTCTAAATGGTCTTTTTCATCATCTGAGGGTGACTTTGACATCCCAGTCATTTGGTCATCAGCCTGTCCTTCTTCATTAGCTTTCTCATCTTGTTTCTCCTCGTCTACTTCAAAATCTTCTTCGTATTCTGAGGGGGAGAAAAATCACCACTGTAAGAAGGAAAATAGAATCTGTGATACTTAACCCACTTTACTTTAATGAGAACTTTGACTCCACTACCCTCTCTTCTCTGGGCCTTTCTTTGCTTCTTTTTCACACAATTACTGAACATGGAAAACCAACAGCAAGTGATCAAAGATTGAAATCAGTTACATATACAAGAGCACAAAGGCAGTAAAGCTCCAAATGACGAGTCTGAAACCTAATGAAAGTTCATTTACAAATGGACATCATCATCTACAATAACCAAAATGGACAAGAGAAGAACTTGATAGAAAACAATAAATTAGAAATAAATTAAAAATGAAGAGAACAGGATTATAATAATGAAAGCTAATTTGGAGACCCAGTGAGGTCACATTTCATATGAAGAATGGTCAAAATATTTGGATATCAAGTTAATGAATAGTGAAGTGGAAAAAATTCAATTAATCAAGTCCAAAGGCCCTGAGAAGTAATACTGTGAATAGCACATTCTTTGAGAACCAAATGGACATCAAAAAAGGGGATTATGAGGGATTCTATACCTAGACCAGAACCCAAATCATATGCATTATTCATCCCTACAGTCAAGGAAATAATTACATTCCAAGAATAAAAAATTCTCATAAAATAGAACATTCCTGTCACAGCCCCTAATTTGCTTCATTCCCAACAGAAGTGCAACAAATCCATACCAGAAAAAGGAAATTGTCACATCAGATAAACTCCAGCTGTCCCTTGTGGTTATAATTTTTCACCTTTCATATTTAATTGTTCCCCCTTTTCCTCCACCCAAAACTAAGAATCTTGAAATGACAACATGCCAAGGATAGAGAGCGAAAGGATTTCATGCAGAACCAATTAAGCAAATAAACAATTATCTCTAAAATAAAATTTACAGGGAAAATAAAGCTTTCCCTATTTTGTGTGTTTTAGTTAATAGATATTCTGGCTTCCTTGCCAGTGGTGGGGACCTCTCAGGTAATTACTTAGAGCTATCCACCCTGCCCCAATGAAAGAAACTTAATTTAGAAATGCATGCCCTGTGCATGTGAAGAAAGCTCTGCTAATGCAGGGATTGTATGAGGGAGATGTAAGGGGAAAGTGAAATCAGAAAGTGTAACGAAGAAAGGCAAACAAAGAGAATTCGTCACAAGAAGATTTTCATGAAAGAGATTCAATATGGGGAATGTGAAATGTGAAATATTATCAGCAAAACAAAATTATAAATAAGATGATGAAAAAGTGTGGTTTATATCATATGAATCAAACAGGAAATACTAATAAAAACCAATATTTTTCTCCAACTATTTCAGGCCAAATGATAGGATAGTTCTCACTTGACCCAGTCACTGTCAATCAATTAACCTTTCATGAGACTCTTTAATGTAGAAAAGGTAAAATTGCAAGATAAGAGACACTACAATAACACAACCCCTGCCACCAAGGAATCCCCAATTTTTGTGGAGGAAACGAGATGCAAGTACAGAAGAGATATGGGACTCATAGTCATTTTTATACATGGTCCTCTGTACACTGAGGGTTCTTGCTATGGGTTTTCATACAGGACTCCTGACTAATTATGTGAAATAGTGTCAAATGGATGGAATGGAATAAAAAAAAGGGCAGAAAATCATTTGGAGATCATGGAAGACTTCACAAGAGGAGGAGTTTAGGTTAGCCACAGAACACACGTGTGCACGCGCACACCCAGGCACTACAGAGAAACACATGCATCTGTCACTTTACAGATATTTGCTGCTGGTCACAGGATAAGCAGAGGCCAAAAAGAACATGAGTGACCTGCTATAATTCCATCAACAGTGTCACATAGTGGTGACGTATGAGGGTTTTAGAGGCAGGCCGACGACATGTGCCCAAGTCCACGTGAAAACACTTGCTAACTGTGTGACCTTACACAATCTGCTCAACATCTTCAAGGTTCCGTTTCTTCATTCATGACATGGTAGTGCCTGCCTCACAAAGCAGTGGTGACTATTAAAGCAAGAAGCCCTGTAACAGGGGTGCACAGGTGGCTTCATCAGAGAAGCATCTGCCTTTGGCTCAGGTCATGATCTCGGGGTCCTGGGGTCGAGCCTCACGTCAGGCTCCCTGCTCGGTGGAAAGCCTGCTTCTCCTTCTCCCCCCAGCTTGTGTGCTCTCCCTCTCTCTCAAATAAATAAAATCTTTTTAAAAATGTAATCATCATCCCTGGAACATGCTTAACACAGTGTCATGGGCAGTACATTGTCTAATAATTATTAGGGATTAGTAGTAATATGGGGGTGGAAGGAGTTGGTCATAGACCAAGAAAAATACACTCTAATGGAGGCCCCTGATTAAAACTGGAGAAGTACAAGTGTCCACAATTAGGACACAATTACACTTATATTATTGAAGCAGAGCATAAAATTGAAGTAACATGTAGTGAACCAGAAGAACAGTCCACACATCCTCTTTTGCAGGAGCTTCTGTGCTTTCTTTCAATGTACGAAATTCCAGGCTGCCCTTGTTTGCTCTGCCCACAGCGGTCATCACACGTATCACCCCTCCATTCACCACGAGCACGCGATCAGCACGAGAGCTCAGAGCCACATCCTTTGTGGTATCTTCTCAATACGAGTGAACTGGCGGCATGCTTTCTGGATCCCTTTTCATAATTTCTTCTGTTTCTCCCATCTCGTCTTCCTTCTTCCAAGGAATTTAATTAGCTTGTTGTTTACCATCCCCACTAATGAGGAAGGGAGTTGACTTGAGGTCAACATCAATCCAGCTGCAACCCTTTCTCGCTGACCTCCACTCAAGTTTCTGGCTGTCCTTTCCCATCAGTGGATGCTCTGTAGAGAGCTGTAGCCCGGCTGCCTCTGTTTCTCCTCCTCCCCCTCCCACTCCTCCTCCTTTTCTTTTTTAAATCCATTAACTAGCCAACCCAGAAGAAAGATCTTGGGGAAAACTATAGCATAGGCATAAAGTTCATACTCTTAACACTGGCCATGTTGGTTTAAGGAAAAAAAAAAAAAAGAAGAAGAAGAAGAATATTAATCCTCTCCTGAGCATGGCTTTAATAAACCTACACATCTCGAAAGTTAAAACACATAAAAACATGTCTTATTTGTTCATCTCTGTGCTACTGCTATTGCCATAGATAGTTTTAAATCCTCAGTCTAAGATAATAAAGACTAGAAGGGATCACAGAGAGAGATAAACTGGGTCAAAGTGTTACAAGGGAAATCTTTTTTAAGATGATCACATTCTTTCAGTAATAAACAAAGTCTAGTGCTATAATAGCTTTGTAAGTCTTCTCTTGAGTTTCTGAAACCCTTGGGCACCAGCAAGATGAGATGAGAAGGAGGAACCTAGGATCTGCCCCTTTCCGATGACGGTTCTTCCATAGGTCATCCCAGCCCATGGCTAATGCTCCTCTAATCCCAGCGCTGTCTCCTTGCTGTAAGCGGGACACACCGGTGGCTCTCCCTTTCTGATTCTGGTTACCATAACCAGGTAACATTGAGGACAGCTTGTGCAGAATAGGAGGTTGTACAGTGTGGGAAGTCTGGGTGTGGGAATTAGACGAGCCTGGGTATTGGAGTGTGGCAGAGTATGTGGGCCCAGAATATGCCACTTTGGCATCTGGGTTATATTGAGCTGAAGGCAACTGAGAAATAGCAGGTTAAAGAAGAGTTCTCTGCCCTCTGCCTATTTGCCTAAAAGCAGGACATAAACTTGTGAAGGTGTCTCCCTTCTCCCTTTTACCCTGGAAGGACAGAAGTTAATCAAAGAAGACAACTCTACACCCTTATCAGTCCAGAAAAAAGCCCCCGAGGAATCAGCCATCAAAAACCTCACTGAAAACAGCCTTTATCTAGCATTAATTTTGCCATATATTTGCCTTCCCATAATTTGCTGCCCCAGAAGCTCAGTGCTTTTCCTTTGTCTTGTCACTTCTAAAAGCCTATTGTTCTTTTGCTAAGATGCTATTACATAAGTCCAAGTTCTAACCACCCCCTTGAGTTACTCAGCACTGAGTGCTCCTGGGTGTATGTCTGAAGCACATCCTTAGACAGTTCTGTCCATTTTTCCTGTTTCAATCTCTTGTCAGTCTCATTCACAAGGACCCAGCCAAAGAACCTATATGGGTCCAAGAAAAAGCTTTCCTCTCCTACAGTGTAAATCGTAGTTCTGCTGCTTTCTGTTTCTCTGTCTGAGCTTCAGTTTCCTAGCCAACAAAATGGAGGGAGTAATAATATCTACCACAATGAAAGGTAAGGATAAAATTAAATAGTGTGTGTTGGGGAGCCTAGGTGGCTCAGTGAGTTAAGCATCAGACTCTTGATTTCGATTCAATTCGTGATCTCAGGGTTGTGGGACTGAGCCCAGTGTGGGGCTCTGTACTGGGCGTGGAGCCTGCTTGGGATTCTCTCTCTCTCCCTCTGCCCTCTCCTGCCCACAACACCCCACGCACCCTCTCTCTCTAACAAAACAAGACAAAGAAAAGAAAAAAGGCGTGTGGAAAACTCTGGCCCAGTGCTGTGCCTGGCACTTTCATTATTGTTATTATCACCTCTCTACATATGAGTGTGTGTGTGTGTGTGTGTGTGTGTGTGTGTGTAAGAGAGAGAGAGAGAGAGAGAGAGAAAGAGAGAGAGAGAGAGAAGGAGGAATGCAGGAAGGGAGGGAGGGGAGAAGAGAGGGAGGGAGGGGAGGAAGAAGAAGAGAACAAGAGAGAATAACAAGGAAGGCAGACAGATCTGCTCTAGGACCCCGAGCTTACGTCAACTGTTTTTACTTATGGAATACTCCTATTACTATATAAGCATATTGTGCCTACCTAATCCCAAGCATCAATTTCACCAAAGCAAGTTCATTCAAATACTAAAAAGAAGTAAAATTCTCTTTGGTCAACCAAGTCTCTCTCTGCAGAAGTGAATAGAGCTTCTGGCTCATGCAGACAGAAATTCCCCTCCTGCCCCTGCAAACACCTTCCCCTCTCCAGAATGAGGCCTGCCCTCCTCTGAGGTGGGTGATACAGGACTCCATGCAAAGCAGAGAAGGAAGGTGGTCAGGGATTCCTCCATGTAATGGAGCTGCCTGAAGACTGTAATAGTGGGTTTTGTTGCACATTTCCACAAGGGCGTTTTAAAAGACTGAAGCAAAACAACAATAACAACAACAAAAGAACTCTGTAGAATCCATTACCATATTTAAATATATTTTCCTGGGCATCCTCCCAAACATCTTGTCCCGGTTTTCTTTTAAGTTCCATTTCTTCCACAGCTGTCCTCACTTCCACAATCCCTGTTTTTTCTTCTTGAGCTGAAAAAATGACTGAAGTGGTTTTGTTCCTCTCCATCTCACTCCTTCTTGATATTATGTGCCCTCTACCCTTCCTCAGTTTCCCCTCACCCTTCTTCAGTTCTTCTCTTTTCTCAATACTCTTCTCTTTCCTAGGTTTTGGTGAAGTTGGATTTTTGTCAAGGCCCATTGCAATAATGCACCTATGAAAAAAATAGATACACATAAGGTACTTATTAACTTTTATTTATAACACAATGGAACCTCTAAGCTTTTTAAATCACTTCTTTCTTATTCCAATAAGAATATTATAAGATATATTTTATTATAATACACATAGTTCATTAGAATAAGCTATTTTCTCATTCATACCAAATTTTTGTAAATGCACACAATTATTAACAACTTTACCCACAGTAATAAAAAAGAAAACAACTTAACAATTAAGAACAGTTGTCTCAAACTAAAACTTGTGCCTTTAAAGCATATTTTTAGCCTTATTACAGAGTCCAATAAATGTATCATTCAAGTTCTTAAGTGAGAATTATGTGATAAAAGAACATTCAGGTATATAAACAGGGAAGCTGAGATAAAAATAATCAGAAGAAAGGTGCCATTCAGTCTTAGATAATTTGTTATTCCAACAACACAACAACAAAAGACTTATATACAAGGTTGACTCTAAATAAATATGATTGATTCCTTAAGAAACATATACACTCAAATGTTGTTGTGTCCTTTAAATAAACACCTCGTAGAGCTTGCATGCTTATTTTAATAGAGCTGTCATCATTGTTTTTAGAATGGCCTTTTGAAGCCTGTACAACAATCTTTTGGTGACTTTTCCTGGCAATAAGCTTTTATTCTTTGGAGATGGCAACAATTTGTAAAGGTCATGAAGTCATTCCAAGTGAAATCTGGTGAAACAAGCAGATGATCTGAATGCATTAAGACTTTAAAAAATATTTTAAAGATCAGTTTTAACAAAATAACATGAATAAATCCTTCAGTAGCTTTTTTCCCTATCTCTCAACTTAATATTGAAATAAAAATTCCGATTATGATAACACTATAGATGTTAATGAAAATATGATTATGATAATAGTAAGGTTATTGAGCATTCCCTCTGTGCCCAGCTCTTTGCTGGGAATGTATATCCATTATCTTACAGGATTCATTACCCTACCCAGGATGATACATTAAGAACTATCATCACAATTGACAAATGAGGAAACTGAGGCTGGCAGGCCTCCATGACTTGCCCAAACTCACTCAGCAGGTTAGGGATGGAGCTGGACCCTGGCTCAGGATTGCTAGATTCCATCCCCTCACATTGAGGTACAAAGATATTGTTAGATTATAGGTGAAGCCCTTCCAGAAGGACAGACCCACAGACAGATTTTACACTGCAGGACTTCCCACCAGGGAAAGTGTTCACACTCCACCAGAAACAAGCACAATCTGGAGAAGTTTGCACCAAGGCCTAGAGGTGATCTGGGACCTGAGAAAGCTGCCTGGTGATTGTCAACCTCCCCCAGCCTCCTCCTCTAGAGCTATGTGGGTCTCCTTCCCTATAGGACTTATTGGAAAACGGAATCAATAGAGTGCACAGGTAAAAACAAATCCGAATGTAGTCAAGATGTGTCCATCCAGGAAGAACAGAAATAATATGTAAAATATGAAAACCGCCTCCGCGTGAATCAGATCCAATGGTAATTTCTTGAGCTAAAGATGTCACTGAATTTCAGCCATCCCCAGTCTAGAAGCAGCATAGGAATCAATTCTCCCAGCTTATGAGAACTTAGTTATATCACTTATCTTTTCAATATCTCCCCATAAAATAAAGCCAAAAGGATTTGCACTCAAAGTAACTATCAGGCTGTAAAAAATGAGATAATAAGAATACACTTACCTCCCCCATATTAAGCATGATAAATGTTTCTTGCCTGTAATGATGATGTACTTAGCACACTGCTTTCCGTGGAATAAAATAAAGGTGTCATGAATCTTCACAGAATATGATGACTATCATTGCCTTCGGTTCAAGCTGTTCTTCCCTTATCAATGGCAACACCAAATCCATCGATTTGGAGCATCGGATCTGCTGTTACTTTTAGTTTATGTTGTGACTACATGGAGGCTTTGATGCCTCCCTCCTGCATGCACAGACTTTTTATTGCCCATCTGCTCAGGGGAATTGGACGAACAAAGTGCGTGACATCTGTGCTTTCCCCGTCGCTAACTACCTATTCGACTTCCGAGTGTAATTGGAGGTGTTGATTCTGATTACGGAAGCTCAGTGCAGCCTGCATTCCACTTGGCTAGGCGATTCTTCTTCCTGTGCCTCACTCTAGCAGCTGAAAACAACTACCTCGTCTCTTCAGTTTCCATGACTGAGGGATGGGTACAAGCGTGGAACCTCCCCACTTGGACATGACCACTGCTGAGCCTGCCTTGTGTTCTGAAGACCTTAAACAGGCAATGCCTAATCATTTTGAGAACTAGAACTCCCTATTGTTGTTTTAGAGAATTCCCTCCTCATAACCAAAGTTCCGGAGCCAGTATTTTTTAAATGAATCAAAATTAATTTCTTTTTTAACAGATTAGAGGCATTCATGTACACCCCTTAAAATAATTAGAAGTATTATGGTGGATGTCACTGCCCCAAAGAGGTTACGTAATATTATAAGTGAATTATATTATATTTTATAAATATTTATATTTGTATTATGTAAATAAAGTATTTTTTAAAAGATAACAGACTTAACAATCCTTATTCTTTAATATCACAACCATTTTGTTTTTATTATTTGAAAAGGTCAAAGAAGCCAGAGGGAATAAAATGAAATCAAATAAAAAATTGTACCTAGACTAATAAGTGTTAAATAGGAAAGTAGATGTCATCAATCAGATTTTAGTACTGATGATAAAACCTTCATAGAAAGTGTTTATAACCAAACATTTACAGCTTGGATTTATACAGCAACTCTCAAAGAGTACAATGTGTTTGTGCACGGATGATTGTATATAGCTCATTAGCTTTCCTGGGAGTCAAACACAAATTTGTTAAATGACTTGCCCACCAATATGGAGAAAGCATATTTGAGTTGGAACAGGAAAACAGCCTCAGGTGGGTCCTTGGAACACCTGGGCACTCCTACTATTCACTGTCCCACTGGCTGGATGACTCACGTGTTTTCTACTCCCTAAAACCTCCAGTGCCTTCTTCCTTAAGCCTTAACCTCGGCTGACAAATTCTTGTTTGACAGAAAATACAGAAACAATCAGTAGAGAACTTGCAGTTGATCTCAACACACCCACACTCCTTTACTTGTTATTTGCCTTTCCCCCAGTAGAATGGGCTCCTCCTGGGCAGGAACTTTGGTTGTTTCACTCCTCTTTTCTGGCTTGGCATATATCAATTCTCCATGAGTACTTTTAGAAAAAAAAAAAAAAAAAAAGAAAGAAAGAAAGAAAGGGAAAGAAAGAAAGCACCCCTACAAGCAGGTGTCCTCATTTCAAACAGAATGTCCAATATGAAAGGTGACAAGCAACAGTCAAAATTGACCCTTTATCATGCATTTCGTTATGCCTGAGATTAAAACTAGGGGCATGAGAACGAGAACTGGGCCACACCACAATGCAAACATGACCTGTCATACCCAACCACGTAAGACAGACGCTTGGCACGTGCTTTGGACTCCCAAACCAGTTTGTAAGAAGAATGAGAATAAAATACCCTCTCTCCTTCACTTCAGAAACAGAACTTAAACAGTGTGAGGAAAGGGAAAGCGAGAGAAACAGAATTTGGAACACCAACAGCTTTTATTCCCTTTACAGAATATATCTGGAAATCTAACTTATATCTAATAATTTCAAACACAACACACCCTGTTATAATAAGCAACCTTTAACTTAGATATTTTAGGCTCATCTACACTGATATCTTTGTTAACAAACTGTGCTGAGAAATGCATCAGTAGAAGCATAAAAAGAAAAAACATAGCATAACTTGCCCTCTACCAAAGGACATTTGTTTCCATACTTGTAGCAAGGAGATGATCTCTCCACGCACACAAACCCAAAGTAGCCTCGTTTGCCTCCAAGTCTGGAACCTTTTCGATGCTTATATTCACAGCAGGAGCTTAACCTGTTCACCTGCATCCCATTCAGGAAAAAGGTGAGACTGAAGGGGAAACCATGGTGCCTTTTGGAAATAAACTGAAAGGTCTCTGGAATTAAAAAAGTAAATACATCAGTGAAAGCAACTAACATCGGACTAATATGTTCAAAATGACATTTTTCTATTAGATAAGTACAATATTATGCTCTAGATCACCTTTTTAATTTGAGAACAATTTTAAGTCATAAAAACACATGCTGTTACTTTTATTTACAATAAATACCCCAAGGCATTATAAAACTCTGATTTTTAATAAAATAATAACATTATATGAGTTCTTATTATGGCCAGACATTATGTCTGATTATTTTGGGTGTATTATTTCTCAACAAACACATGACGTGAGAATATTATTATCACTACTTTCTATATGTAGAAATTGAAGTTCAAGGGAACTCAGTAATTTATCCAAGATCATACGGAAAGAGGAGAGTCAGTGTTGGAGTCCAAATATCTCTCTAGATTCCATCTTGCTATTTAGCTACTGATAATGTATATGGCAAAAGGCTACTGTGAGCTCAGTAATGCATTTAAATAAATGTGTGTCTTTAACTATGACTTGAACCAGCCTAATACATATATGGATGAGGTAGAATTATTCCATCTCAAATCCATTCTCAGTTCTGCCTGGATTTGGGTCTCCTCGTTCCCCCACCCACCCAAAAGTCCTACCAATAAGTTAAGAACCACTGCTTGTGGTTCTTAACTTATTGGTAGGTAGATTGTAGTTAATAACTTGTATCATCCCACATCTTTATAATGCACTTTGGAAAGATCTCACCCTAGAGATCCCAAATTCCAGGTCTAAGAAAACCCTATGCTACAGAGCGACTCAGAAACCTCCTTTTCCTGACACTTCTAATGTCACTTCCTACAAAACAGTTCTCCCTGGACTTTTCCACTTGCACTAGTGATGGAATTGATCACTTCATCTCTCTGCTCTGTATACCTTTCTTGTTGCTGTTATTATAATTGTTGAAAAATATGGCTGTACCAGGGCTTCTCAAACTTTAGTGTGCATCAGAATACCCTGAGAGGCTTATTGTAACACAGTCTGCTGGGCTTCCCCCGAGAGTTTCTGATTCACTAGAGCCCAAGAATTTGCATTTCTATTAAGTTGCCAAGTGATGCTTGATCTTCTGGTCCAGGGACCCCACTGTGAGAACCCAGATGTAGATGTCTACTGTCCTGCATGTTTGTGAAATCCATGAGAGTTGGAACTAGTCTGACTCATCTTTGTTCCCCCAGGTCGCAGGACAATGGCATAGAAACCCCCCCAAGAACTAATTAATGAATTATTATTTAACCTGTTTCATAGTCATCTACAAATGTTATGTGCATACCACACTCTGCCCCCCAAAACTGTCTAAATCAGTTGCAACTTGTACTAAAGAATAGAATTACCGGAAAGCTAATTCCATCATTTATATGTTAGTGTTATGATATACAATTAAATACGCAAGGGAAGAGAATTTTGAAAAGTTAGCATCTGGGGAAACTAAGATACAACACCTACAAAAATCCACTTGTCTTAATGATATATGGGCTCCTAAGTATTGACTACAAAGCAAGTTTGACTGCTTTGTTTCCAGAAACTTGAAAGGGACATTTACGTCCTATGATCTACTCTGCTGCAGCATCACACCTGCAAAGTACCTGAGGTCCCAGCCCAGGAAGGGTGTGCAGCTAAGGAAACTGAGAACGGGCCCAGGAAGTGGACTTCTCGCTTCCATCATGTAGTCATGTGGCTAGAGAGTGCCTCCCCGATTATTCCGTTTCTTTCTCTTTTTTTTCAAACTTATTGAACAAGAATTGACACCCTCTGCTTTTCTTCCCTTGTTATTTCTTTTTTAATTTTACATTTTAAAATTAAGTGACACTTTCCAACCCTGACTTAATGATGTTTGCATGGATTAATGGAAAGCATATATAGACCAGAAGTCAGAAGATTTGAGTCCGTGTCCTAGTTCTTCACTTGTAAGTTGAGTGTCCCTTGGTAAGTCATTGAACAGTTGCATTTCAGAATTCTCATCTATAAAATGAGGATGGCCATGGGAGTGGGTGGAGGAGTTGGGTGGAGGGAGCAATCCCTTCTACCTGCTTCACTGAGCAGCCCTACGGATTATACACTGTACAGTGTTAGAAGACATTCTACATTATTTATAAAATGCGATTATTCATTGTTGACTGACAGTCGCTTGCAGTGTTTCAGGCACTAAAGAGGAACTAAAATACTGAAAAAAAGATCAAATATGGTGTCCTGACTCAAGAAGTTATAATTTAGTAGGAGAGACAAAAATAATATGACAGATTTCTGGAGTGAGGTCCCCACATCCTCTCCCCTAAAATTTTGTCTCTAAAAATGGACCAAAAACTTAAAACAAACTGAATAGCAGTTTTCATCAAAAATTACTGAACTTTTCATAAGAACAGAGGGAATCTGAGACATTCTTGCCTGGGGCTACTCCCATCCCCCTCCCCCCGCCAGCATTTCACCAGCGGAGTTCTAAAAGGGAAGGGCAGGCCATAAATAACCAGCAGCTTCCCTGTTCAGTGGGAGCTGACTTCATGTGGAGCAGAAAACAAAAAAGCCTTGGCCAGGGGCACTACCAGTAACAAGGAACAGTCTTGGAGGCAAGCTAATGTGGAAGGTCAGAGATCCTGCTAGCTGAGACTGTCCTTGTAATTAGGGCAAGCAGCAGGCCAGTGGACTAGCCAGAAACTTAACAGGGAGATACAGGCCATAAGGCAATTACAGACACACAGATAGGCTCTCCACACATCCCCAGCTAATGGGAAGTGGCATGGATTGGAGTAGGCCCAACTTATTCACACATTGCTCGCCTACCAGGAGCTTGCACCCACAAACAGAGAAAACACAAGAAAGCCTGGTGGAAAATAAAAGTTAAAGCAGACTTGAAAACTGCCTGAACTTTGGATGAACTCCTGAACCTGTTGCATTGGGTTAAATATTGCTCTCTAAAAATCCATGACCACCCAGAACCTCAGAATGTGACCTTATCCGGAAATAGGGTCTTTGCAGATACAACTAGTGAAAGATCAAGATGAAATCATCCTGGATTTGTTTTGTCAAACAAATTCAGTGAGGATGACCTTACAAGAAGAGGACAGGACACACAGAGACACACAGGAAAGATTGACACGTGAGGACAAAGGACACAGAGGTGGGAACAATGGGCTGCAAGCCAGGGAATGCCAGGGGTTGCTGGGAATCCCCAGAGTTGGATGAGGCAAGGGAAGATTCTCCCCTAGAGCTATTAGGTGGAGGATGGCCCTGCTAACGATACCTGATTTTAGATGCCTGGCCTCCAGAGCCTTGAGAGAATTAAATTGCTGTTGTTTCAAGCCACCTGTTCTGGGGATTTATTACATTAGCCCCAGGAAACGAATACCCCCACACACAGATCCAAGGTACTCAGTGGTGGTGGATGTCCTTCATTCAAAGTCTTCTGACTTGGTACTGGGTCAAAGTCTTTGAACACGACCTCTGACAAATCACTGGATGATCGATAACCTATGAAAACACAGAGACGACCCAAGGAGGCCTGCCTAAAAAATAAAAAGAGATAAAACCTGAGCAGAGATAATACACTGGCTGTCTACCAAGGAGCGGGGAGGGCATGGATTTCAAGGATTTCAGAGAAGTTACTAAACAGACAAGAACAAAAAGAGGGAGAACAATAACCTAATAACCTACCAGAGGGAAACGTCAGAATCTAGACTCCACAGCTGCTGCAATACATGATCGAAAACGTCCAGTTTTCAACAACAACAACAAAATCAAAAGACATGTATGTAAGAAGCAGGAAAGTGTGGCCCATATTCAGGGGGAGAAAAAAGCTATCGAATCCACTCAAGAGAAATGACCAGATGTCTACACAAAACCTTGTATCTGTGTATTTATCACAGCATGACTTACAATGGTACCAAATTAGAAACAGCCCAAACGTGCATGGAGCGAGTGGAATACATTCCGTGCTGTAGGACGAGAGCAACCATTGCTGAATGCTGGGACTAGCTGGTTCTCTGAAACATCAGGCTACAGGAAGGAAGCAAGACACGAATGCTGCCTATTGTATGATTTCATTTATGCGAAATGTCCAGAAAAGACCTATCTGTAGAGACTGGAAGCAGAGCAGTGGCTGCCTGAGGCTGGCTACAAAAAAAAAAAAAAAAAAAGGGTTCTTCTTCCAGGGGGCACAAGGGAACTTTCTGAAGTGAGAGAGATTCTAAAACTGGTTTGTGCTAGTGGCTGCATAACCCTCTAAGATGCTTAAAGATCAGTGCATTGTACACTCACAATGGGTGAATTGTGGAATATAAGTTATAGGTCAATAAGTCATTTTTTAAAAACTAAAAACTAGGGTGACCTGGGTGGCTCAGTGGGTTAAAGCCTCTGCCTTGGGCTCAGGTCATGATCCCAGAGTCCTGGGATCTAGCCAGTGGGGAGCCTGCTTCCCCCTCTTTCTCTGCCTGCCTCTCTGCCTATTTGTGATCCCTCTCTCTCTGTCAAATAAATAAATAAATTCTAAAAAAATTAAAAAAATAATAAAAAAATAAAAAATAAAAACTATACTACTAAATACAAAATACTAAAGCTATTTTTAAAAACTAAAAACTCAATATATTTAACAAGCAAAAGATCAGTAAAAAACAGTTACTGTAAGTCACAGGGTAATGAAATGCTTGGGGTTTCAGGGGAGACTGAGTGCCACAGCCATTGAGAGAGCGATGAACCACAGCAGAAGTCAGCTGAGAAAGCTTCATAGCCTCAATGAGAATCTTAAGAGATGGATAAAATTTGAATTTAAAATCCTATCTTGAATTTAAAATCCTTTGTCCTACTGCAGACAAAGAAATAGCGCTCTAAAAGACAAGATAACACACGGTGGGTGGGGAAGAGTGAAGCAGTTGGTTTGTGAGGGAGTAATGAGGAATGCGCAAATCCGCACAAAGGATCAGGTTATGAAAATACAGGAAAATGGGGCAGAGAAGGAAGGGATTTTACAAAGGTCAGGGAAAAGAAGATGCACGTTGCTCTTTGTATCTGCATGAACCCAGGAGGTTAAGGTTTGCCTCGTTTGAAAGAATGAACATAGTAAGTAAAAATGCCCACGGAGAACTATACTCTCTACAAGAAGCAGAAATACTCAGTGACTTCCTAGGTGTACATAATAAACCATCAATATGTGGCTTGATGTCTACAATCAGACTGTAGGACATCAGTGAATTACTAAGGGAATAAAAGATGCACTTGCCACATTCCTAAATAATTAATTTTATTGTTATTTCTCATCCAAAAGCAGACAAATTAACAAATGCCATACTTTTAATTAGTTTACTGCTCCAAGCAGAACGTTAAACGCCTTTTTTTTTTTTAAACAGAAATCTTCTAAAAACCTATTCACATTTCACTGAATCGTGCACAGCTTTGATTTGTAAACGGCAGATTCTTTTCAGACCAGCTAAATTGCTAAGATTGCTGAACCGCAAGTCAACTCTGAGCCACCCAACTTTTCAATTTTCAACAATTACTTTCCTGGCAATGAAAGGGCAAGCTGAGACAAAATTATTATGTGAAGAGGATTCAATTATTTAACTCCCCATTCTGTCCTGTTAACTGAAGTCTGTCCAGTGACACAACAGCAGTCCTAGGACCAACAGGTATGCAAAACAACACAGCCAAGGAACACTCTGCCTTGCTCTTTCTTTGGTTTTGCACTTTACCTCAGATTATATGGGGTCTCCTTGAAAACCGTTCAGCTAGCTAAGCCTTGTTCTTGTTTCATTTGTATGGACCATGTTCTCCAGCAGGCAGATAGACATATATGCATTGTCTTGAAGAAAGCATGATCCCAGGCCCAGGAAAAGTTTCATTATGTTCATTCCGATTGTAGACTATAGCTAATTTCAGCAATTCTTCTAAATTAATTCCTGAAAGTTACACTTTCAAAAATTAAGTGTGTCTATGGCACTATCATTAGGGGTTTCATAACTCTCATATTAGGTAAATGTAAGAAACCTTTTGCCACTAAGAATAGCTAACTGAGCAAGGGTCCTGTACCTACTCAGCCGTCTAGGACCTGCTCTTGACCAGACCCCAAGCTTTGCATATGAACTTAGGAAGCCATCGTACCCCTGGACTTCTCTCATTTTCCTCATCTACGATACAGCAGAAATGAACTCTCAAATGCTATGACAAAATGGCGGGGTAAATTACATTTCAGCCAGGTACACAAAATGGGGAAAAATAGTGTCTGGCATTATTGAGCAGTATTTTTTATAAATAAGTTTTATAAATCTTCATAAAGTTAAAACTAACATTCAAATGTTTACTCTTTCTTATATTGGAAAATTTTAAATATTTAATCCCTAAATCTGTCCAATTTCTTTTTAAGTACTTGAAATTTTTAGAATTAATAGTCACTATTTCTGAGTGATGAAAGAGATCAGAAAAGTCAAAAGTAACAATTTGCATTCTTGCCCCCAACTCCTAAGACTCCCTAAACTTGTATCAAGATTGCCCAAATATCAATATTGCTTTTACTTAGTAAAAATGCAATTACATTCTAAACAGAGTTTCTTAAGCAAGGAAATAACAAATATAATCCTGCAACAACTTGTCCTTTCTACTGCTATTCCACACAACTAAATACTGATGAAAACCACTTCACTACAATAAGTGAAGCCCTATATTGCATATAAAAATTATCTTCTGCTAAGAAACATGGATTTATGATCAAACGAAGGCAGAAATGTACTAAAATCCATCTAGCCAAATTCTGCACCAAGTTATTTAGGTGTGATTCACCCTGAAGTATATTGGATTTGCGATTTTATCTCAACATTTTTCTAAAGAACAAATTGCCAATCTGGTATTTTTCCCTTAGAATAATGTATGATATAATTCACTATGGCAGGCCAAATAGTTAACTTGTAATTTGGGGGACAGTTTATTCGTGCAACATTTTAATGATCATATATCTCTATCCCAAAATTAATCTGTTACCAGGTTAAATCACTCCAAATTCCTTCTTCCACAATCTGCAAGAGTAATTGCTGCTTCGGTTTCAATCATGGAGCAGTAAATCTAGATTTACTTTGAGGCAGCTGGTTTATAAGTCCCTGGATATGCATAATTTCATAGAGTGATTGAAGTCATTTTGGTAGGAGATCAACAATAGCTTATCTATAGCATCAACTTAAAGCAACTTAAAAAATTCATATTTTATGTGTACCTTTTTCTAGTAGTTTGCCTTTGTAGACACAAAGGTTTTCCCCACCACAATGCTGTTGATAAACTTTTATTTCATCCCGGAAGTCTGGGTGATCATGAGACAGGTGCACAGTTTTCCCCAAATAGATCATTGTAATAGCTGCATTACTATGTGGTGGCGTTTTATGAATCTTTCTTGAATCCTAGAATCAACAAAAGAAGAGCGCTTATTAATTACTTTCTAATCAGAGAGAAATGATACGGTAATAATAGGAGGAGTAGAAAAGGCTCTTCTCTAGCAATAAAACATTGATAAAATGTCAATTTTCCCAGCAAGTCAAGTACAACAAGTCAAGCCAGTTACCAAAGAAATCTAACAATTTATATGCATTTTGGCTTTGTATTTTTAGTATAAATGCCAGAGATCTGGACAAAGTTTGTCACTTTTTATTCTACGTGTGTGTGTGTGTGTGTGTGTGTGTGTGCGTGTGCACTTTACATACAACAAAAATATCAGTGACACTAAGAGGAAACTGCTCTTGGTTCTTTCAGCTTTTTCTCAGATAAAAATTCAAATCAAATTAATTAAATATTGGTGACATATTTGTTCTAATTTGAATTGATTTTGTGATTTAGCAACTGTTTTTGCAATTGAGTGCTTTATCTTTACACTTCAGCAATAACAATGTATCCTTCCCCAAACTTCCTCTATGTGAGACAGGGATGACACATGTTCGATTCCTTCTGGGGTCACTGTGAGGATTAGAGACCTGTGTTATATGCCTGGGACTATTCATCTTTACAGGAAACATTCATTCAGTGAAAAATCAGCATTATTAATATTATTTCTCATATCGAGCAGTAAACCCAACAACAACAGCAACAACAAAACCCCGTTCTATGGTGTCCACATATTTATTTATAAAATAAACAATAAATTGATACGCCAGAAATGAAAAGAAATGTCTTCTGCCTGGTCTCCTCATTTATATTCTGCAGTATTTTCACAATAGTGCATGAGCAAAGTGTTTAACCTCCAAGAGGAAGATGAGGAAAGAAGCAGGAAAAGGAAGAAAAGGATGCTGGTTGAGAGACTTTCAAGAGAGCCTAGTAAGAATACTGTCAGCTTGACAATTATACAGAGGCCGGGCAATACATTTAATCTACTTCACTTTTCTAAAAATCAATTTTCAACTAAATGAAAAATGTGAAGAGACCAACTTTCAGTGAATTCAAAGCCATTATTTGCATTTGATTTCACTGAATTATGGATGCCTCGGAAACATGCATTTTTTTCCAAATAACAAAGCTGCAACAAAAATTTCTGAAGGAACTACTAAAATATTTCCATCTTCAAACCCATCCCCTTCCACTTCAGAGGATTTTTTTTTTTCTCATTCAATTCCATTTCTCTGAAGCAAAAAACCAGAGGAAGTAAATCTGATTAAATGAAATTCTGCAAATGACAGACTATAAAGTGTAACTGGGGAAGGAAGTCCAACCTTTAAAAATTTAAGTAAACTGTCTTGCCTATGGCAAACAGAGCTCCCAAATAGAGAGGTAATCAACAAAAATAATTCAAGGACATCAGTAGCTATAAAGGTAAATCAGCAAACTGGATAATTCTTTGCAGAGACATCTCCCTGAGTCACAGTTGAAAGCAAAGGGATGATGGCAGGCCTGGCTCCAAGTTGCAAAGCCATGCCGAGTTTGCTCTTGCCTGGGCGGCTATGCAGCCGTAACACGCATTTCTGGGGCCCAGTCCACCATCACCGGCCTACGGCAAATCCGGCTCCCACTAGAACATTTAATGATAGGACGGATTAAATAAGAGCACCTCCTTTTTGTTAAGCAATACTTTCCAAAGTGGCATGGATGCGGAGGTAGCCCTGTGAACTTCTGGGAGATAAGCTCTATCTAAATGCAAGGTAAGAGTGAGATGAGGGTGGAGGAAAGGCCTGCCTCAGATGTACAAAATGAGAAAGGAGAAGCTGAAATGTTTAAAAGTAAAATAAAGGAAATGACAGCCCTTCACCTTTTCATTTACTCTTAATCATTTTTTTTTCTTCTAAAGCGTGTACCTGACAGCAACATCTCTTTTCTCTTGGGTCTAGTTACTTCCTTCTTTTTAAAAATATTCCCCAATTATTGCCACTATGTAACCTTTTCTGGATTCTAACAGGAGGCCTGAGTGACAGCTCATGATTAAATACATGCACTAGGAAATGAACAATTGTTTCTTTCAGTAGACTAAATTGCCTCTATACTTACCAGATTCCAAGGTTATAAAGGACCCAGACTGATGAAACTTTAGCAAGCTTTCACGGCCCTTTCTGCCATCCTCAAGCAAATATCAAAACCTCCCATGAAAATTCCATTTCAGGAACCGGAGCAGGGGCTCATGCCCACGCACGACTAAGGCTTATCTTCCTTCCTTTCTGCACCACTTGCTTATGACTTTCCTTCTCATTTCTTTTCAGATATCTCAGGCAAGCACAATCTGAGCTGACAAATAAATAGCAAGCTCATTGGGTGGTTAACCGGCCAGCGATTACGTATTTGCAACACCTACCATTCGATTAATATACTAAATTGTCACTGGGATTTTTTTTTTTTTTTTTTTTATCTGTGCTAAGGCCTGAGTTGGGGAGGAGAGGTGGATTAAAGAGACTAAAAGGGTGTCAAAGGGCTTATTCTTACTGATAGCGCTGGGCCGTAATTCCTCTTCATCCACTTAGCCAAGCCCTGATGAACTCCGGGCGCCACGGAGTCTTACCTAGACCTCTGCACTAAATCTCTAGTTAGTAGGGCGGCCATGGAATTTATCATCCAAACCGGGAGACGTAGTGAAAAAGACATTATTAATAATTATGCTAGGAGAAAAAAACAAAAACCCACAAATTTGAACTGTTTCAGGAAAGCCGGGATGGATAGTCGCTCTACTAGCTCGTCTCCCTACTTCTAGCCTCGTATCTCCCCAGAGTGAACTATTATCACTAAATAGATCATGTGACTCTCCTGTTTAAGGTCTTCCAACAATCCCCAATATCCATGGGATAAGGTTCAACCTTCCTTAATTAACAAAAAATGTCTTATATTTTCAACACCTCCTATCTGTCAACTCTTTGCAATTTCTTCTGATACATTTAGAGGTCCAGCACCTGCACTAATTGGAGTGCCCCAAGCACTCCCCAGGTGTTTTTAATCTCCCGACCCATGGAACCCTCTGAGTCACATGGCCTTGAAACGGTTGTATTCCTTGTATTCCTCTCTCTCTCGGTAGATGAGAGCGGTGTCTCACTGATCTTTATGCCCCGGTGTCTCGCCAGTGCTGACACCTAGCAAGGGCCTAGTAAAATTGATCTGACTGGACACAGATGTGGAACAATTAGGGATTCCACAGTCTGTCCTTTGCTGAGACAGAAGCTGCAGTAAGTTGACCCCGCCCTACATCAGAAGCTTTCCGTATTGGTAGGAACTCTATAGGTACCACAACATGAAAACTGATTCACAGTGTCCTGTTAAACAACACCTCTGACAAAGATTGATTCAAAGCCTGTATAAGGAACAGCGGGCAGTCCCCATGCTGACTCTGATTCAGGCCGCGGGGGGAGCAAATTCCGAAATAAACCAGAGGAAGAGCGCTCCAGGGTTCGCATCCTGAGGCTTCAGGAAGCAGCTGGTTGTAATAGAAACTGCTTATTCTAGTCACTTGGTTCCTCTCTTTCTCTTCTTTTTCATGCTGGTTTTTCCTTGTTCACTCCTCCTCCTTCCTTGGCTTTTCCTATGCTTCCTCTTTTCACTCTCCTCTTTCCCATTTTTCTGACCACCCTGTAACCCGTGTCTCATGCTTATTCCTGGCATGTCCCCAAATGCCTCCATCCTCCTGGAGGTATTGGAGCTCCAGGTTTTGAGGATGATGAGTGGACCCAGGAACCTTCCCTTCCTCATCTCCCGCAGTAGAATATATTCAGTAAGTCAGCTAAGAGGTAGAAATTATCCAGCTGCATTTTGCTTTTGTTAAGGTCTGAAAAGCTTATGAGGTCTGCCCTTAAACTCCAAGGGCTGCAGACCTCCAGAAGCATCTTTGGTTCTTTCTCCCTTCGATTGTTTAATTCTGCAATGCCAGCTGCTAAGATATTTTGACTGCTGAATTGACATTTAAACCATTTTTCAAGTCCTTTCTAGTAATGTAGTTACTGAACTGCAATGTTAATTTTAAGCAAAAACATTATTGAAAGGAAAGTGCCTGAAATAAATCAAACCTATATGAGATATATTGAATTACCTTATATTAAAATCATGCTGATGCTTTCCTTTTTCATTCTCAAGTATCAGTCTACTGGTGAGGAAAATCAAGTAAAAAAATACCAAGATAATACATTGACTAAAATGGAAATTTTTAAAAAATATTTTAAAATAAAATCAAACAAAAGAAATGTGCCATCTCTCTAGCAAAACTAACATTTGTTAGGCTCTATTGGTTGTTGAAGAAAAAGGATCTATGTCTGGAAGGCATAATTTATTTCCATAATATTTACATAAACAGTATAATTAAGAGTTTAATTTTTGTATGGATAATACAATAATATCTGTGAACACAGTACTAATAAACACTTGATTAAATATAAGTAAAATCAAATGTCTGTCCTCAACAAGCTTCATAATCTGGGAGTAGAAGTAACAAATAATAAAAGTACATGAGTATTGATACTAAGAAGAACAGAGTAAGGGGCATAAGTAAGAAAATCCTTTTGAAGAGAGGAAGAGAAGGGATCCTATTACAACGTACAGAAATCACTGCAGAACATAAAGCCTCTGACAGAGGCTGGGAAAAGTGAGTTTGAACACATCCTTCTAGCTCAGGTGCCCACAGGCAATTCACAGAGAGAGAGCATCTGGCATTGAGGAAACACCTGACTGATTGTGATTAATATCTCCAGGGATTTGAGAGAAACAAATTTATAGATAAATTCCATATAATTTGGATTTGAGGATTACAAATGCAGGCTCTAAGTGTCAGTCTATTGAGCGTGTGTATTTAGTCTGTCACTAACTAGTTATGTGGCCTTGGCCAGCCTATTTTTAGTTAACCTTACTTGCCTCAGTTTCCTCATCTTTAATATGGAGACATTATTTTATCTCTTTCTGGAGTTTATCGTGTGTATTAAATGAGGAAATATATGTAACACGTGGAGCAAAACTCCCAGCACACGGTGAAAGTTCACTAAATAGAAGGTAGAACCATTGCTGTCAACATGGCATATAAACATTTTATTGTATTAAAAGCCAACAAAGGTAATTGAATAGGAAAAAAATATATAGACGATTTAAAAGTTAGTGAATAGCCTGCCGAAAGTAGAAATAGAAAAACGCACAGATCAGAGGTGTGGGAGCGGTGGACCAACCAGCTGAGGGTCCAGGGAGTAGTTGAGTTTGCCTTAGATGGGAGTGGAAAGCTGGAAAGGACTCAAAATCTGAAAGCCCTTGAATGCCCATATCTAAGCATGTCTTTGTACTGTGAAGTTTTGACATCTGGGGCCTTAATGACCGCGAGGGAGACTACACCTCCCAGACTAACTAATTCCTAGAGATGGTAAATGACTTGCCTGGGAGAGTGCCTTTCATGGACAAACTAACCCGTCGGGAGCTTATCCACACTGCCCCTACCTCTGCTATCTGGCTTTTAAACTCTGGGCCAATGTTCCCTTGCCCTAAGCACCCTGGATCAAGCAGCAGACAACTCAGGGAGAGCCTCCACACTCCAACACCTGCCAAAATTATCATACTATTCAATCCTGAACCTGCTTACCTTGTCTTTCCTGTTCCTTCTCTCAGAAACCACAACAAAAGCTCTTGACCGTTTCCCTCCCACTTCTTCAGTCTCCTGACCAACTCTGGTGCCTTGAGTGGCCCCGTGTGACATGTGTGATGGATAATTTTATCTTTCAACATAGCTGGGCCACAATGCCCACATGTGGTCAAACATTCTGGATAGAACCCTGACCAATATACATGGCATGTCCCTCTCTCACTTACAATATACATGTAAGTGACAAACTGTTTTTTCAGTGGTAATCATCTCTTGATCTATAGGTCTCAACATACCTGAATAATAATAAAACCTACATTTTAAAAGAACCAGGCAGAATATACCTGCTTTCTTTAGGAAAGGAGCCGGTGAAGGTCTTAAGCAGCGGGGAGCATGTTGGGAGCTCTTCTCTCAAGCTTCATTTAACTTCGTTACGTAGAATCTGCCAATAGACTTTGCTTGCTCTTGTTTACCCTTTCTTCCTTTGACCCTCTGCTCCCCGATTCCATCTGCTAACTTCCTACTCATCTTTCAAAGCCCATTTCAAATGCCATCTTCTCTCCAAAGCACTCTTCAATCTCCTCAAAGCTAGCATTTCCTTTCTCTGCGTTTTCATTGTGCTTTATTTATACCACCATGAGTGTACTCACCACAATGTGTCATGGTTAGTTGTAGATATTTCTGACTCCTGGCTAAACTGCAATCTTTCTGAGACTAAGGATTTGGCTTTACTCATCTTGGTAACCTCAGCACCTAGCACAGTGCTTGTCATAATCAATAAAAGCTAAATTGAGATATTTGTCGGTTTAAAGGCAGAACGTTAAGCCCATAGATGACTGCAACAGCCCTATAAAGAATGAGGTAACAAGCCCCTGACCTGGGGATATAGCACTGAGAAAGGAAAAGGACTGTCAGACACATGAGCCCCTGTCCCCGTGCTAGAGCTGTGCAGTCTGAGACAGCAGCCGCTTACCCTGTTGGCTGGGAGGTATTGGAAAGGAGGCTCATTTGAATGAGATGTGACATAAATATAAATGTTTACTGAATTTCAAAGACGTAGGATGAAAAAAAAATTGTTTGATACTCATTAAAACTACACTGATTACATGTTGAAATGACAATATATGTTGACTATACTTGATGAAACGAAGTATGTTAATAAAATTACTTTCACAGGTTTCTTTTTACATTTTTTAGTGTAGTTAGTAGAAAATTAAAGTTGCATATGTGACTTGCATTATATTTTTATTGGATACTCTATCTGGAAGATTTAGCAATTAACTGATGTGGCATGCAGACAGAAGGAAGCCTAGGTTTTGAGCCTAGATTTTGAGATTTTTATTGAGGAAAAGGTCTTGCTTTATGAGATACAAGGTACCTGAATGGAATAGCGGGCTTCACCATGTCAAATTTGAGGGGCAGGAAACCCTACCAATCAGGCACCAGCAATTCCACAGGGCTCTTGAGGGGTGGGGCGGGGTCTTGACTAGATATAGAAGAAACTCAGCCTCGTTCATGCCTGGAGAAGCTCGATTACACAAAACACATAAAAAATAGAAACCAACTTTGTTTTGTTTTGTTTTGTTTTGTTTTTAAATTGATAACCATAATGGTTAAGTAGTTTCTTATTTGAAAGCCTATATTTTTATATTAATAAATACTATTTATAGGACCATCCCCATTTTAACAGGCTGCTGTATAGAACAGGTAACCAACAATACTGTGTGAGGACAAAATCTGGATATGTGGAGGAAAACCTCAGAGCAAAATCTAAGAAGTCACATGGATTCTGTAAAGAAGTATAAAAGTTCTGCCAGTCCTGGAACAAGAGGAAACAAAGCAACGGGGCACACTGGCGACTTGTTGGGCTGTGGGATGTACCACACCTTGTCATTTGGTTCCATGGACCATCCCCTAGAGACACACAACACAGAAGGCAGAGATTATGTTCTGCACATTCCTAGGGGAACAGGGGGTGGATCACCAGCAAGCCATATCTCTTTGTCTTTTCCCTCCTCCCCCCCCTCCTTTTAAGAGTATTTGGAGGATGTTTTGAGGATGGTAGCCATAAAATGAGTGAATTTAAAGTGTAAATTACATGCTACCTAAATACATTTAAAGGCTGAAGCTTAAATTCAAAGACATTAAAAGGCTGAAAGTAAAAGAATATATATATATATAATATATGTTATTAAATACTGTATATTAAATGCTAATCTAAAGAAAATTAGTACTGTGAGACAAGGGAGATTTTAAGGCCAAAAGGAATGTGATAAAGAGGATCCCTTTTTTAATCATAAAGAATCATAAAGAATCACCTCATAGTAAGATAGAGGAATCCTAAAGCTAAGAGCATACAGCCAGGTAGTCTCAACATTTACAAAGCAGAATTTGACATAATTACAAGGAGAAACAGACAGATCTATGATTACAGAGAATGAATTATCTCTAGAACTCAGAAACTGAGAAAGCAGATAAATAAGAATGCTAAGCATGTGAAAACAGGAATGACATAATTAACATTTCTTATCTTTTGGGCATTTGTAGAACTCTACTCCCAACACTGAGAGGCTCATTTTCTTTACAAACACTGAACATATATTAGCCCACAAAGAAGTCTCCACAAATACCAAAGAACCAAAATCCTACAGAGCCAGATGTTTTTGAAAAGTAACATTGGGTGAACACAAAAGAAGTTCTTAGAATTTAAAAAAGGCACCAGAAGAAAAAACTCAGTAGAATGTATGGAAGATAAAACTGAAGAAATCTCCAGCAAGTAGAACAAAAGGACTAAGAAATAGAAAATAGGAGAGAAAAAGATAAGAATATTAGAGCATTAGTGTAGCTGTTCTCTCATTCCCCAAACAGAATAGAAGTTTGGAAACAAAACAAAAGGCCAAATCAGGCTAAAACCTTGTGACTCAGAAAGACAGACACGTTAAGGTCTTTCGAAGCCAGGATGCCAGCTGACACCATGCTGTGTTGCTAACTTCGGGGCAGAGTGCTCAGAGGAAGCTGGCTCTCGTGCCTGTCTGCGGCACTCACCCTGACCACAGGCTGGAGAAGTCACTGTTCTCTCTGTGACCAGCTATGAAAACCCATTCCCCTGATCATATCTCTGCCAGGTGTCCCATGGCCACACTGGTCCACACCAAGACCTGACTAGATGCCCTGACCCTGGTGAGCCCCATTTTCCTAGGAAACACTCATGACTTGCCCTCTCTGACTTCTCCAGAAGAGGCTCTTAAAACCGTCAAGGAACCAAATTCAGACTCTGATGAGGAGAGCTGCTGGGGCAGAGATATGGACAAGGAGGAAGTAAGGCAGGTAGGAGTGAGGCAGGTTTACAGGAACCATACCACACTCCCTGATTCTCAGTGAAACTCAGACTTCCTAACAGTTACACCTAATTACTATTACTATTATTTTTATAAATACTATCAATTATATATTTTATAAATATATATAAATTATATGTATATAAATTATATATATTAAATATATAAATTATAAATTACTATTATTTTACACAATAAAAGCTAAGGGATCTTCTGCTTTCATACTAGCCCCTATCTATATAAAGTCTAACTGGCCATAGGACTATTTTCTTTGGCATTTTGAGAAAATGAGTACAACAAGCTACAATATTTTCAAAGAACATTGAAAGAAAGTATTTTCTAAATATTATACAGTAATTTCCCAAAAATCATTAAAAGGAACTTTAATAAGATATTTTATATGGCATATTATGTTTTGGGGTATATTTAAGTTCCTGAATTTTCACAAGTTAAATGTCAAAATGCTTCTCAGAACCTGTGATTGAATGGGCAAACTGAAGGAAATAAATAATTTAGAAATGGGCACAGTGTAAACTAAATTTGACCACAAGTTTAGTAGAATTTTTATTAATAGTGCTAAATTAATTACTGAACTGAGCTACTCAAATATTTGATTTCAGATTCATCCAGGCTTAGAATTACACTTATAAAATTATTATATTTATATAAAGGCATTTTGCATTTGATTTCACTAGATTCATTTGTATGGCACATCTAGAAATTTAATAGCGCAAGGTAATCTATGCTCAATTAATAAAAGAAAACTTGATTACATATTCACCCTGGTAAAGAGAGGATCTAAGCCATTTGGAGCAGTGGTTGGACGGAATCTTCTCCTTCTCCATGATTCAAGTCTATTTTCCCTCGTGATTCTTCCACTGGGGGGAGGAGGTGGAGGAGGAATAGGCATCATGTAATTGTTAATGTTTGGAAGTTGATAGCGATTCACTCCCTGTGAATTGTCCATGGAGTTCTTGAACTTCATCACTGCCTTCTTGCCCTGTAATCACATTTCATGACATAACAACCAGTGAAACAGTAGTAGTGACCAATGCAACCCAAAATTAAAGACAAGACTGTATGATTTACATTGCATGTAAATACAACTGATAATAATAGGCAAACTCAAAACACTTCATTTTTTTAATTGAAAAATGCCATTTTGTAGTATCCACAGCAAGTTAAATTTTCATGACTTCCTAACCTTATTGAAGTATATTTTTATGTCAGATACACAGTGATGACATTGTTATAGTACTTTGGGATTTTTCCTCAATAATCCATTAAATCCATTAAATCTTTAACAATTTAAAATCAAGGAGGTGGAAGAATTGTACTTTGAGGCAGGGTTGGATAGTTCACTTAACAATGGGGTGTTAGTTCTTTTCTTACATTGATTTCACCCATCCAGGGGTTATAATATTCCTTGATAATATAATGGCAAGGAAACAAATGAGGACTCTGACCCAAAGACTCTATTCAGCTTATTTTTTCCTACATATTCAACTTGTAGGAATAAACCCTACCAAGATAACTGTACAATATGTTGATGTAAATGTGTAAAAGGATACACACATACATACACACACACACACACCCCAAATTCAGTTGAACGATCGAAAGGAGAATATTTAACTAAATTTTTTTTTTGTCTTTGTAATAGATTCTCACCAGGCTTCAAAAAAGAATACTATGAATCTATTCATCCTGACATAAAAAGGTCTATGTGATGTGACCACACAATTCTTTTAAATGAATTTGTATGTGGATTTTGATAAAATCAGGGATGACTGGAAGACTTTGAACTAAGGGTTGCCTTTGGGGATTTGGATTATTGGGAGATACCATTTTTCATCTTACATATCTTTGTATTATTTGAAAAAAATGTATCTCTGTATTAATCAAAACTTAAAAAGCACCAAAGGTGTAATCAATCATCATATCACATTTTTCAAATATATTTGAATCTTGGTATTTTCATAAATTGGTCATTTTTGTGCCTCTGAGGTAGCTTTCCAAACTTGAAGTCATCTTTAATCACTTTTACCCATTTTATACCGATTTATTTGGTACGTTTCTTTTCAGCCAATTTATTCTTTGAGATTATTAAATAGAATGAAAAGTTATTTTAAGAAATGGGAATCATTCTTCAAATATTTCTCACTGCTAATAAGTAAAAGCAAGATAAATAAGGGCACATATAGGCTATATTTTGATCGAAAACAACATTTATGTGAACAGAGAGGGATTTAAATAGATATTCAACAATGAATTTAGAATTGTTAAAATAGGTGATATTGCAGGAGCTATTTATGTTCTCATTTTTCTCTTCTTACACTTTCCAATTTTTCTGTGATGGTGTGCATTGATATTGTAACAACAAATATAAATTAAGTGAAAATAATAAGAATAAAATCAATGAATCCAGAACTTTGGGGACTTGGAGATTTTTTTTTAATTATTATTTCTAAGTAGTTATCGGTCAGTTGTATGCCTTATTTGGAAATGGCGTAATAAATTTTTTTAAAAATTACCATGCCATTCCTTACCTTGCTTTTTTAGCCCACAGCGTCTTGGACATCTTTCCATGCTAGTAAAAATAAGTTTACCTCATATTTTTTGTTTAACATACTTTAATAAACTATAATGTTTTTAAACAACATCCTATTAAATTGTTAGGTATCTTCAATTATTCACTATTACAAATACTATAATACTGAGCATTCTTGAATCTATTCTTCTTCACATATCTATATATTCCTAAAATAAATTCCTATATGTAAAAATGCTTGAGCATTTAAAATATTGGTACATATTTGCACACTGCCTTAACAAATAGTTATACTAATTTCTATACTTAGCAATAGTGTATGAGAAACTCTTATTGTAAGGATAATCATTATGAACTAAGTCACGATTTTCACTCAATTGCATCTTAACCCACTCTGTTTTTGACCAGATTGCTTTTGCCTAAATTGAAGACCTTCACTCCTGATACTTAGAAACTTGCTTATGTCTGTTGTCCCTTCCAACAATTCCCACATTCATAACTTCTATGTTTTAAGAAAACAATAAGAATTTGGTAGGTACTCACTACATACTCAGCACTCATAAAGACTACTACTTCTTTAGAAATTTCTTGTCTGATTTACATTAAATCATCTTCATCATCAACACCATGGAAAAATAACATGTCTTCTGACAGCATTGCAGTATAAGCGCCAGTAAGCTAAGGACTTCTGTAGGCCTTGATAATTGATATATCACTAATGCCTAGAGCAGGACCTAGTCCATAGTAAGTGCCCAATAAATATTTACTGAATGAAAAGTGTATGTTTAGCTAGTTTAAATTAACATGGAATTAAACTCAATCTTGTCAGCCTAAGAAAGTCACCATTAAGTGCCTGTCCCTCAATTACTCATACCCAAAACCTGCAAACAGGAAAATAAAAGGCCCTATGCAGATTTAACTAATAAATCCATCCAATGGCTTGGAGCAGAACTGGAAAATCAGCTGAAGAGAAAAAAAAAAAAAAATCTCTCCCTAGCTGGCAGAACTTGAATATTACTTGATTAGTAGTATTTACATATCTAATAGGAAAAAGAATCTATCAAAGTATAGGAGCTTAGAAAAAATAATAAAATCACCTTGACAAATGTGGAATGTACCCATCCAAGCACTATCTAGGGGAGAGAAAATCCCACCCATTGGATTTTAAATATTTCTAGTTCTAATGGCAAAGTTATCCCTGAAAGACACAGGGAGTTAGCCAAAGACCTTTGAGTTTTCTGGTACCTTTGGCAAGCCCATTCCTAAGATGAGATAGGTACATCAACCCATTTTAACCTGATTCCATTCCCCTATATACCCTCATTCTGATTCCATGCTCACTAGGCAACCCTCTCATTGTGATCTGGGTCTCACGGAGGTCTGTCTATAGCAGGATAATGGACTGCTTCTACAGCTTTGATTATTTGATATCTGGTGAATTAAAGGCCCTTGATTATGATTTGGCTGCGGATTTTGCTTTACTATAGGAAGACAGATGAGCTTGTTCTGTGTTACTCTTATTAACTAGAGGCAATGTCTCAGGACATATCTGTCCCTGGACACTTGCTGAAACAGGAAATCTCCAGGCTTTCAATGTGGACCCCAGATCCTAGAGTGTCAGCCTAACTGACTTATACCCCAAAAGCTTCTGCCTAGACTTAAGAACTACTCCTTAAACAAAGCACTACCACTCTTGATTTAATTTTTCCTTCTTTCTAGAAAATACTGTTTAATTAACTAAAATAAGGTTTGTAAAAAGTGCTTCATAACCTGAAAAGCATATTAAATGGATAAAATATTAGTTATTATTTGTAGAGTTATATTATACTTTTATAATGAAACATGATCATTTATTTGTCTGGATTAATTTCTTAGTATCCAGGTTATCTGGCAGTTCTAGATAAAAATATCTTAATTAAAAAAAAAAATCTTAATCTCGTATGTCTTAGGTTTCCTAACAAGAAATGGAACTAAATTCACCCATTTGAACACAGTGACAATTGTTCTCATGACACAGGTTCCTTCTTAAGCTGGCAAGTGTTTCTTCTTCATGTTAGAAATACAAACGATACCCTCCCTCATTACTGAATGTCTTAATTATTCGTCCCTGTTTGAGTAACTTGTATTTTATGTTTACCATGTTTCCCTCTGGTGCTCTCTTAAAATAAGTTAAAGTTACCAGAGACATAACCTTGAAAAGGAAGCAAAGTTAAGCTCCTATGTGTGATTAATTCACCATTTTTTAAAGAAGGACATACTTTTTCTTCTATATCCAACCTTCTCCAGAGTCAAACTTGAAGCAATTTCATACACTGAAGGTAAAGTAAGTCAGCATGCAAATGCAAACCTATTCTTGGAAAGTTTCATTTTCTAGGTTCCATGCATGTAAAATTTAGAATCAGTCAACACTGATATAACACTGTTCTGATATAAGTCATATAAGAAGTTTCTCTTTGTTTTTCATACAACTGTTCAAATTAATGAGAGACAACCTTAAATTATTATAAATCTATTCCTTACTCATTTTCCTTAATAACACAAATTATAGGCTTTCCAGTTAGAGTAAAATATAATTAAACAGAAGTACCTAGTAAATGCTTAATAAGTGCATAATATAAATTTCACTGAGTAATTGAATCTTGCATCTTAAAACTTGTGATAATCTAATATTCCCATGAAGAATAAAAAGATATTTCTTGAAGAAGTAACATTTACCCCAATGGGAAATGGAGCTTCATTTTCCAGCAATGAGGTTTTGGATCTGGATCCCGAAGTTATCTTTGGAACAGTTCCCACCACAGGATTACTGGGAAGAGGCTTTAATCGAATTGGAGGCTGCATATTTCCTGGGGCAGTGTATGGTCGAGGGGCTGTCTAGACAATTAGGGGAAAAAATTCCATTTAAATTAGTATCTTGACATGTTTCCAGAACCAATTAATAACCCAACAAATTGCCTAGAGTAATTAATGGTGCCTTTTTACTCAACAGATTAAACTTTAATTATGTCCTTCCATTATACATAGCCTTATGACCCAAAGTATTTGTTAAAACATATGGCGTGGAAGTCCTCTACATAACTAAATGCCACAATTATGGAGTATTCTAGACAAAGGAAATGTTCTCTGTTAGGTTCCCATATTTAATTTGTTTTGTAAACTTGCTGACAATACCTAATTTATTCAGTGCATTAAATGGTTTTGCTCAATCAAATGCTACCTTGAATAATGTTCCTATTTTTGAGATCTAAAGGAGTATGATTGGAATGGACTCATTTCCGTTTAAATGTTTTCAACATAAACTACTGTAAGTTCTTTACATCTTCAAAATGGTGAAGTAAAAACAGACAATATGATTCAAAAAGAAGAGAGGTGATGCTTAACTATAATGCATTATCACTTTTTTAACTTCTTCCTTGAAATGCCAGGAAAGTAAAAATGAGAACCAGTAACTGGCAATTGGAAAACACTGAAAATGGAGATGTTTTCCAGGCTGGATAGTTTCCATTTGCTCTTCTTCTCTGCCTTCTCTGCCCTGCTCTGCCATCTGGGAGTCATTTCTTCATGGGCTACACCTACTACTCTCTGGATGTTGGTTGGACTTGGCCAGTGAAGGCACTGGCAGGAGATCAGAAGACAAGAGGCAAGTGGTTGAGGTCTTAACTCTCCTGAACCATTCCCACCAAGGCTGTGATGGGCCAGCTGCATCTCTCTACCGATCCAGAACTCCTGTCAGGCCATCCTCTCCTAGCTTATAAGGACTGCCTGCTGGTGCTGGGACCCAGTCCTTCCCTCTCCCTCTCTGGCCTAGGTGCTCTGCTTCCCAGGGTGTTGACCCCAACATATTTAACATCCCCAGTGGGTTTTCCTTAACCCTGCTGACATCTTTGTAAGTAGTTTCTTTATTAAACTCTTCCTAATTACCCTATTTGTGTGAGCCATCTGTTTCCTGCTGAGACCCTGACTGATGCATTTTCCAATCAAGAATGTACTGCAGAGAATACCAAAAGGACCAGTATGGAGCATTAGAAATGCTGTTTGTGGCACTGACAGAACACTGTAAGTTTAGTATAAAGATCAGCAATGTTTCGAAAAGAAAAAAACAAAAAACAAAAAACAAGTCTCTGGGCCCTGTTGTTCTATTACAACAAAAAAGTTGGAAACCTGTTAAGAATAATCCATATATATTTGGGTTAGAAGGATGGTGTATAAATGACTCATGAACAATGCTTAATGCACTGAGTCAAGAGCAGTGAACAACAAATATTCAACTCTGGAAATGCATTGTGTAATCCATAAAAAAATGATGAGAGGGCAGCTCCTACCACCAAAAATTGATCTGAGTGCCATCTTGACAAGCATGTCATATGTCGCCAAATGTTAAGTCAACATTCATTGGATTCCAACTATATGCAGTATGAGAAAATTGAGAAGTAATTTTTAACATCTATTGGCAACATATGACAATTAGTGCCAAATAAACTACACAAATACTGCCAAAGAGACACTAACAACAATAACAGAATATCTAAAACCTAACAGAACTTAGAATTAAATGTTATTTGGAATAAACCAACGAGGCTAGGAAAAATTCAAGTTTTCACAAAAGCATCTTATCCAAATGTATAAGCAAGGGAAGAAAATGGGTGAGCAGAGAAGAAAAATGATAAATTTGAGTATCCAGGTAGGTAGAAAGCCAGTTGTGAGACAGACATGGGAAGGATAGCAGAAATAATATTCCCCAAGATCTGTTTTTCTTTCCTCACTAGTAACAGAATTTTTTATCAGGGAACATGGCTATCATAAATAAAGACTACATTTCCTAGCATCTCTTGCAACTCTGTACAGATAGATGCCTCAGTTTCGGTCAATAAGATGTGAGCAGAAGAGATATAGGAAACCTCCAGATCATGCCTTTACAAGAAGTGTGCCATCACTTTCCCTTTACCCACTTCCCTGTGGCTGAACTATTGACACAACAATCTGCCATCTTGGCTTATGTAAATGAAGGCAACACACTAAGTTTGGCAGATTAATGACAAATTAGGAGTCTGAGCTTTTGATGACTTCATAGAGTAGAGATGAGCACACCAGCTGAGATTCACCTAAGCATGTTAGGGTGGGGAGGGCATCCTTATGTTTAAGTCATTGTTATTTTGGGTCTCTGCATACAAACCTATTTTGTGACCAATACAGAAAGCCAAGTGGATTGACTGGGGCAACATTTGATTTAAAGAAACAAGACAGGAGAGTACATGAGCCAAAAGGCAAAATGTCTTAAAACCCACAAAGATAAATCCAACTAGAGGTTTTTGAACAAGAGAATCAGATCACCCAAAAGAATTCTTTTGAACTCTGTGAAACAAATAATGCCTAAGACTATCTCTTGTCAAGTAATTCAACTGAACACAAGCATGCTGAAAATCTACTATAGGAATTTAAGAAAGCAGTTTACTATAAACTAGAACATGATCTATTGGCTTCTGTGCTCTAAATTTTATTTCCCACATTTGCATACAAATATCATTCAATTAGATGAATATGGCAGTCAAATGTTTAACTGATTACATTTATATCTAAAAACAAATTTGCATCATTCAACTAACAGCTGTGAGCTACAAAGTATTGTAGTTCACATCAGAAGCCACCTTAAATTTGCTATATTTTAAACTGTTTGCAATATATTTTCTTGGAATAAATATGGCACTGTAGCTTAACATTTTCAAAACTGTACCAGAATGTGAATTGAAATTGACTACCTGGTGATTACCCAGCTTAGCTGAGCATTTCTAATTCTTACTAGACGATCTCTGGGGGTGAATTTTCCAAGCTTGTGCAGAATGAGTTGAATGGCTTTCCACAGTTTTAATGGGCATGGTGCAGCTAAAAGCCTATCTGCTACTCTGAAGGTTTAGGTTCAATTAGTGACCAAGTGAAATAACTATTCACTGGATGTTTTCCTTCTTTTTTCAAGAAAGTTAAAAGAAAAATCAACAGCAATATCCCAAGAGGATTATTATCTCCATCTCCAAGGCACTTGCTGGTCAGGAGTCAAATTTAAAGGATATGTATCCAGGCTGAGAGAAAGAAAATGAAGATTTGAATTTCTGTAAAATGGGAACCACAGTTCCAAGATCACAATAGGTATCCCTTACGGTGCAGAAGCACCCTAGGGGGTGACCAAGTGAAGAATCGTGCTTTACCAGACAGAAAGGCTTCTGAAGTGCTGGTGTCAGTGTTTCCTGTAATTTTAAAATTACTTTCTCACTCCTGCCACATTAAGATCTCCTGGATGTATCATAAACTACTTATTGAGGGTGTTCAGCTGGAAAATTGAAAAGAAAGCCTTTCAAGGGTTTTTTCCTCTCTGAAACAGGTGGGAAGATAGAAAACAGCACTTGATTGTTTCTTTTGTTTCAACCAGTTTAAGCTTTTGAGAGCCTAGTGAATTTGCCATCCAAAAAAAAATCATTATTTGTGTACGTCTACATCTACATTTAAATGAAGCTTGGAAATATGGTAACAACAAAGGGAAAATGGTTGCTTTTCATAACTTGAGCTGTTCATCGGGAAATGTCAAAACATATTTACCTTTGAGAAATGTCAAAGCTTAACACTATACGAGATGAGCCTACTTCAACAATCTGTGAAAACTTTGCAATTTCTCCCTAAATATTGTGCAATCCAAAAAAAGTTCATGTTAACAAGGAAATATATTAGGCCACACAAAGCAAGAATAAAGATGTGATCAAGCAATTCATTTACAACTTAAACCATCAACCTCCAGCAAATATTCTGCAAATCTTTTTCTGTACCTATATATTGTTTCAAGCTACCTCACCTTCCTTCAAATTAATCCCATCTCTATATTATAAATGAATCAAACTGGGATGAAACGTTGGTTTGGGCAATTTCTTTAAATAGAATCTCCGCACATTTAACTATGTTTACGTTAGAGTATTTCCCCATGCTTTTGATAAAAGAAACACAAATATAAGTATCTGGCCCAACAGGCTATACGGTATGATTGAGTTTGTGTGCATAAAATAAGTTTGTCAGGTAAGGTGAGAGTGGAGGGAACAGCAAGGACAAAGTCCAGAGGTCAGAAAACACAGGACATATGTGGAATGACTAGTGGTTCAATCTTGCTGCATTGTAGAGTGCTAAAGGGTAATCATGAGGGGAAATATTGGGTTGACTAAATTGAGGTCGTATGGCTTAGGGTCTTAAATGTCAGGTGAAAAAGTCTGGGTTTTTCTAAAAAATGTCACAGAGCCAGTGAAGGCATGTGGGTATGTAAGTAACAAGTAATCTGCACTTTAAAGAAACTACTCTAGCACTAACAAGCAAAATGGATTTGACAAGGGTGATACTGATTAAAAGTGAGGCATTCAATAAAGACAGTTGAACAGATAGAAGACCACATTGGCATTCAGTAGGATTCACAGAATTATACAGAAAAGCACTCAGAGAGAATTCCTTCTGAGAGTAATTAGAAATTATATATTATTTAGTTAAAATGGTACATGATAGAGTATTTAATATGACTCACCAGTGTTCCTGGACTGGAATGTCCTTCATCAACCAGGACACCATGGCCACGGTTAGTTTTCGGGCCAGCTGGGGGGTGGGGAGACAGGACTGGCATGTTATTTTCTATAGACCATCTTGTGGCTTCTCCCTAGAATAAGAAAGTGATTGAACAAATTGATGCATAATTAGCAATGAAGGTTAGGTTATTGCCTGACGGTTAAGAGATACTGTATTACTAAAGAAGTCCTTTCTCATTACTTTCAAAAGTGTTCCTCCTGAGGTGTATCATGACAGAAAAAGTTTCCATAGCTGTAGTGGTACATTGGGTGTGATAATGAGAGGCAGGAATTTCAGTCTGCTATATTGGAAGAAACAGCTATACCCAAAGAAACAGCTATGGATACAGTGGATTTTAGCAACAATATTTAGGAATCCACTTTAAACAGATCACTACAAGAAGCACGGTGTTCCTCATAGCTTTGGTCAGTAAAGACTACCAGAAACTATTACTTTTCTACCTTAAAAAAATAATGAAATCATGCCCCAAGCAAAAGGGTTGCATATTATATGAGGAACTTAAACCACAGGTCTTTCACCAAATGCAGCTACAAAGTGAAAATTGTTATGAATAAAAATCATATAGGGAGGAACTGGAGTGTCTCTCAGGAATTTCTGCCAGGGTTGTAACATGTTCACATGCTTAGTTAGCGCATCCACCAACCGGGGTGAAAGTGAATCCCACACAGCTTCCAGCAGCGTTTGTCACTATTTCCAGAGACCATTTTTCTCCATCAACATTCCAGCAGTAAGTTAGAGAATTTATAGCTCAGCCTTTTACATAGGATAATATTGGCAAAGTTGAATTAACCACAAATCTCTACACACCAACTTTTCTGATCTTTTTTTTTTTTTTAAGATTTTTATTTGTTTATTTGACAGAGATCACAAGTAGGCAGAGAGGCAGGCAGAGAGAGAGGGGAAGCAGGCTCACTGTCGAGCAGAGAGCCCGATGTGGGACTCAATCCCAGGACCCTGAGATCATGACCTGAGCTGAGAGCAGAGACTTAACCCACTGAGCCACCCAGGCATCCCCACCTTTTCTGATCTTGAAAAAATGACCTATCTGCTGTTATTTAACAATACTTTTGTAACAAGATTTTCTTTTAATCATGATGGAATAGGCAGATTTGCGTCTATTAGGCAAGAGGGAAAAATTATCACCTTATATGTGGCAACGTATTCTCCAGAAGGTTTACAAATATTCCTTAGTTTGTGAAATGTATCTTGGGCCCCACATTTGTGACACAACACAGAAAATGAAGAATTACCTGACCATTCAAATGGCTCAGGAAATTGAATAAAACTGCCAACCTCAAATGAAATCTTTCAGACATGCTTAATTGAACCTCTCAACCCCTGATTCAAATGTATATGCTTCATAAGTTGACTGCAAAGAAGGGATATCAAATATAAAAATAAAAATAAAAATAAATAAGGAAATTTTTAAATGCCTGTACAGAACGTCTAAATCTTAGGCTTTTGTTTGTCAAGGTAGATCTTTCCTACTGTATTCAAGGGTCACCTGTGCATGAAAATGTGCCACTGTATAATTCTGAGAATGCCATTTTCCTTCACATTGGCAACATCACCATCTATTTTCAGTTTTTTCAGACACAAAACAAAAATCCTTGGGTCTCTGTCACATATCAATCAAGAAAAGACAAAAACAAAATTTCAAACTTGAAAAGGGTGTTTCCGTGATTGCTTTGAAAGCTTTGTACTTTACAAAGTTGCAGAAGAAGCCCCTATTTTGCCATGAGCTTTTCCCCTCTTTTGGGGGCCAAGATAGAGTCTTGGTGAAACTATCACCTGACTTCAGCCAAGAGTACTCAAAAGTAAAGTGCCTCAAAAAGCATCAATAATGGTGCCACTGACTTTTAAAATCATAAAATAATATTATGAAGTAAAAGAATTATGTTGCTCCTTACCTTAAATCTCTGAATTCGCTCCTTCCTAGCTAAGGTCTCCAGTTTCCTTTTTATTTCAAGCTGATGATAACGCTAAGCACAAGGGAAAGAAGAGAGGAGAGAATCATGTCAATCACAGCAAAATTGTTTTTTTTTTTTTTAGAGGAAAATAATCTCACCAGCTGACTGTATTCCCCACTTACTTCCTCCCCCACCTTGTCACTGAGATGGAGAAGAATCACCTGTGTAAGTGTGCAAGTGGGAATATAAATTGGTACAACTCTTTGGAAAGCCGATTCCTAATATAAAGCAGTGAAAAGTGTCCCTACCCTTTAACCGACATATTTCACTTCCAAACCTAGGAGGAAATCGGAATTAAAAGAAAACATATCTGTGTTATACACAAAGATGCTACCGGAAGGGAATTTTTTCTTCAAAGTAAAAATTCAGATGCAGTATAAATCTTAAAGAGGATGGTTAACGCTGGTGCACATCCATATAACGGGATAGAACATAATCATTAAAATAAGATTCATAAAGATTTTGTAAAGAAAAAATGGAAAATACATGTCATGAGGGAAAAATGTAAAATATGGAATTGCACAGAAATACAATTTAATTGATCAAGTTCAAACTGTGTGGCTGCCCCGGTGCCAGGAAGGGGCATCCTGTGGGCGTCATCTCTTCTTGAACAGCGCTAATTGCTAAGCGGTCTCATTGCATGAGTGCAGAAACGGAGGCAGAGGACCAGGAGCTTGCTCCCAGGTCACACATCTGGTCAGTGGTGAAACTGTCATCTGGGGCTCAGTCTGCTGGACGCTAACTTCCTGTTTCTTTGCTCTTATTTATTCACTTTTCATAAGACTCTGGCCCCACGTTTTTAGCATGTTTTTATTAATGCATAACTGTGAACAGAGACTAAAAGGAAATGTATGTCAACAGCAGTTCTCTCTGAGAGGAAGGATTCTCTGAAGTTATTTTCCTTTGTGTCCATTCTTGAGTTTTCCTAACTTTCTGCAATATGTTCATTATATAATTTAAAAATAAACCTCATGTAAAAGTAAGCTGCTTACAATACTATTTGAAACCATTCAGACACATTTGAGGGCATTTGAAAAGTGTTTTTTCTGTGTCCTTGATCCCCTCGTGCAGTGCAGCCCGTGGGACCATGCAGGCTCGATCTTTCCCTAGCGAGTATCATCAGCCCTCTTCGGATACTTCCCTTTCCTCTCTCCCTCACCCTTCTTCTCTCACCCTCTGATCACCACACCTCATTACACTCACTACCAGCCATTTTCCGTTGTCCATTTATTCCCAAATCTGCAGTCCTCTCTCTCAACCTCACCCGTCTTCACCAAGGCCACCAACGTCTTTGTTTCTCGGTCACACCAAATTCCTTCTTTTCCCCAGCACTTCTGGGTTTCACCCTTCCGGCAGCTTGTGAGAGCCTGCCGGCTCTCTGTGGGGTCTGGTTTTCCACCAGGCCAAAGCTCCCTCCTAGCCCTGCTGCAGTCCCTGAGCTCCCAGCCTCCCCTCCACCCGCGCGGCAGTCCCTGAGCTCCATCGAGCGCGCGCGCCACCTGCCGCGCTAGCGCCCCCCAGCGGTGCTCTGGCTCCTTCTCCCCAGCACTCCCCGTTCAGTCAGTGTCCATCTTTCTTCCGGTTCACATCTCCTCTCATCTGGGAGAGCTGCCTCTCCGCAGCGTCTCCACGACTGCTGTTAGCCCTCACCCTTCGGCAACAGCTTCCTAATTGACCTCCCACCTCCAATCTTTTCCAGCTCATTAATCCATCTCCCACATTTTTAGCAACATCATCTTTCTAACACGGCTCTGCTCATTTACGTCATGCCCCTGCTGAACAAACATCTCATCGCCTCATCACCTACACTCCAAACCTCGCTGGGGACTCAAGGCCCTCCAGAAACCAGCCCTGGCCTACTGAAGAGTGTCACTTCCTGCTGCTCTTTCAACCAGCCCACTGTGTGGTCTGGCCTCAGTGAGCTTTCTTGCCCAGCCACGGTGTCCTCTCTTCTCTTACCTCAGGCCTGCGGTCCTCAGTCTCTCCAATGCCTTTCTCAGGCTTTCCTGTGGTGCCTCATTTAGCCTTCCAGGTCCAGTTCAAATAGCAGGACCTCTGTTCAGCCTCCTCTGACTCTCACAGAGGCAAGTCATCATCCCCATCTTCCTGGAGCCCGGTTGGTTTTTCCTCTCTCCTAGCATGTGATCACTTTTCACAATAGTTTTTTATTTTGTTTTTTGCTTTTTTTTGGCTTTGGATTTTTTTTGTTTTTACATCTCACGGCTACATCACATAACTTCATACTGGCACATGGTAAGCCTACAGTTAATGGCTGACGTTTCTTGTATGCATGAATACATGAATATTAATATATAACAGCATTAGTAAACAGCATCGTCATAAACTAAATGTGAGACACATGTGACAATTTAGAGACACATATTCCATTTGTTAATTATATTAATATATTATATATCACAATTATATATTACATTTTATAAAATTATATATTACATATTAACACTTTTCTAAAGTATCTATTCCAAACTTTAAGAATGTATGAAGACTCTGATATAATAACATATTTAACAGTTATGATGTGTCAATTACATGAAAATTTGGAAAACTAAACTTCAAAGATCAAAGCTAATACCGAACTTGGTATCTATTGGTTAAATTTGAAACTAGGTATAGATTAATTTACTGTACTATTCTTTTAACACTAGTTGCAGAATTCCAACTAATACTCTTATAAGCAAGTGAATTTGGGGACCATAAACAATGATCCCACATAATTCATGCACATGATATAAAACATAAAATGAATTCCTAAATTAACAGATCATATCTTATCTGAATGCAACACTTGCTCAATATAATGGTAGCATAATAATAAATATTTTAAGTGGCACTACACTTAGTATTGGTTTACTGGTGATTCTACAGTTGTTCATAAATGTTTACTGCACTCACAGGTCAAGGCTTTCACCAGTCAAGTTTTCTGATTTACTGCTGCATGGCCAAGCCAAGAAGTGGCGTGCTTTTTCATGGAGATTAAAATGGTGTTGATGCTTGAAACTATAAGTTCCATGGAGCAAGGCTAAAATAATTTATCAAGTTAGTTAGATATCCTACTAAAAATGCCATGTCAGACTTGAAAAAAAAAAGTTGTTGATGCTTAGTTTATGAATCTACGCTGACCAATGTGGCCTAAAGTAGGAGGGACAGCAGATGTTTCAATGCTTCTTCCCTGAAATTTAGCATACGGCTCAGCTTCAGAGCCTTAAAAGAATAACAAATCTGAAATAATTCATGGCAGTGGAATTACTGATATTTAAACAGATGTCACTTTTTTTTTTTTTTTTTAGCAAATGGAAATTGAGGTACAGATGGTGAGGGCCGGTATGTTTTTGAGTAGCCATTATGGATTAAAAATCTACATTTGTTAAATTAAATATCACAAAATATATACTGATGTCCATATTTTTCCCTAACTGAAACGGAGAAAAACTTAGTCTCTTGGCACCTTGCTACCTAGAGAGTAGAAGAGCATTTCTCAGGGAACCTTGTTCCATTCCTTTTCCATGAAATACAGGAGGAATTCCTCTGCTTCTGGGTACAGGAGTGTTATTAATTGTCATATTAGAAAGTATCTATTATAAAGAAAATGTAATTACTTTACCTCCATATCAAGAACTTTATGGAAAATAGCCTGAGCTAGGCACTCCCGGATATATTTTTGGTGATCCTTCTTCATGATATTTAGTTTGTATTCTTTTTCAGAAAGTATCCTTCCACTTCTTGTAATCTGACATGAATAAATAAAACAGACATGGAAATACAAAGCAGAAAATGTACTGTTCGTTACCAAAAAGGGAGCGAGAGAGCGACAGAGAGAGTGGCAGTGTCTTCTTTTTTTTTTTTTTTTTTTTTAAAGATTTTTTTTTTTTTTTTTTTTTTTATGGGCCTTCCGGTAAAGACCGGAAAACCTGCTAGACAAATTCTAAAAGAGCTGTAACACTTTTTTTTTAAAGATTTTATTTATTGATTTGACAGAGAGAGATCACAAGTAGACAGAGAGGCAGGCAGAGAGAGAGAGAGAGAGGGAAGCAGGCTCCCTGCTGAGCAGAGAGCCCAACGCGGGACTCGATCCCAGGACCCTGAGATCACGACCCGAGCCGAAGGCAGCGGCTTAACCCACTGAGCCACCCAGGCGCCCGGCAGTGTCTTCTAAGCATAAGAGAGTACCACTATAGTTGATAAATGTTCACTTTTAATGAATATTTCATAAAGAAAAAAATCAGTCTCATATACCCATCATTGAGAAAACACACACAGGTGGTGCACTTGACGTTTAAAACAAGGTTTTCATTAGAGTTACAATGTCTTCTTGATGGAACCCAGGTGTTCCTTTCATTTCTTTCTTTCTTTTTTTTTTTTTTAACACATTTAGGAAGAGGAGGTGTGGTGCCACCTTGAAACAATGAATAGGAGCAGTGATCACAGGACTGATGATCTTACAGGAAATGACTCTGAAGGGCAAAACATGTAAGCTACAGAGGTGCTCATCAGTTTGTTTTAAAAATAATTGGTTTCATTATTTTCACACTGCTTTTTCTCCTTCCACTCTCCAACCCAGAATGTAATTTAATTTGTCATGATTCAGATTTTTTTCAGATTATGCAGGGCTGCAGATATAAAATATTCCAGACTGATTTCAACTGGCATCATTGAAAATGCCAGAAGCCGTAGTTTCTGCTTTTTATTTACTTGTTTTTCTTTTCTCTTACTCCTTCCTAAGGGCCTATTTGGTATTATGTTTCTGTATCTTCTGTAAACAGAAGGTGCTATCCTTTCTGGATTGTTCATCTTCTCCCTTTCCACTTAATTATGCTCTGCTCCTTCAGGTCTAATCCAAGGCACATACTTCTTAATTTTGATAACTAGCTTTATAACACTGTTGGTTCAATGTATTGGAGCTCAGGGACCAAGGAGAGCTGTGTTACAAGTGACTGGATCCTGATGATCTTTTTTTATATAGCTTTTTTTCCCCCCAATGGAAGAAAGGGGTATGGTTCTAAAAAGTGTTTCCAATCACAAATAACTCAGATAGTCTTTGAAATGTGTTGTCTGTCCCTGGGATATCATGCTATTTGTTTCCAACAGAGAAAAAATGTTGAGAACATGTTGTACTGTGGCCCCCCATTTAACAGGTGTCCTCGTCCTCTCCTCTCTGAGAGATCTGATTTCCCCAACTAGATTGGAAGGCGTTACAAGGGCAGAAGTTCTTAAACTTAAGCCTGCATCAGAATCAGAAAACAAGTTGAAAAACAGATTGGTGGGCCTCAGCCCACAGCTTCTGACTCAATAGGTCTGGGGTGGGGCTCTAAAATTTGCATTTTCTAACAGGTTCCCAAATGATGCTGAACACTGCTGAGTCAGGAACTGTATCCGAACCACCGTACTAGAGAAATCTTCCTTATGTGAGTTGTCATGTGCATAACCAATGTTCAAAAAATGCTCGTTAACGTGTTGATGAGTACATACCAAGTCCTTCCCATTTATACATAAAGCTCGCAGATTGTTATCCAAAGAAGTAATGTTAATAGTGACCACAATAGTTGCTTATGACACATCTCTTATTGCCACAGCAATCCTGAGGGCTGGGTAGCATTGTCTTCATTTAACAACTGAGGAAGCTGGAGTGAAGAAAGCGAGCTGCCTGAATTGTTCCAGAGTCTCTGACTTGTAAATGGCAGAGCCAGGTTTCAGCCAGGTCTGTCAGATAACAAAGCCCCGGGAGACAAAAAGCAAGCTCTCTGGAGACCTACCCAGCCAGAGTGCCAAGCACATAACAACAATTAGAAACACAATGCATATCCTTTCAACACCATGGCAACAAGGGTTAAGGAAATTCACTGTGTTTTAAGAAGGTAAACAGCTAAAATCCTTACTCACACTTTCTACAACCACACCCACTTCTTTCAATGGACAATTATAGTATTTTTTAAAGGTTTTCACATTAAGAACATTTAGAGAAATGGAAATCTTGTGGAAATGATAGTTTTGGAGCTAAGGAAGGACACCAAAGTTACCAATAAACCATCCAGGAAAGGAAACAGGTTTTTAAAATTCAAGGGGAAATTTTGAACTGTTCATGTCTTCCACACGATATTCTGTGATTATTAAAAATAACATTTTCTTTTCCTGAAGACAGTAAAGTATTCTCTATGCTTAATCCCTAATAGTTCCTGGCTCATACGATGTGTTCAATAAATATGTGTTGAATAAATGAATGAATAAACAAACAAGTAAAATATGCTATTGGAAGCTCCTAGGGTTTTTCCTCAATAATTTATAAGTAGCCTTAGCGGTCATTGTGACCGCTCTTCCTATCTTTTGAAACACAGCTTCAAAAAGATAAATCAGAGCTCTGGAAAGAAGTAATTTTTCTAAAATGAAGGAGTGAGGGGAATGTTGTCCCTAATTAGCTCAAAGAAGAAACCAGAAAAGGGAGAGAGAACTACTGGATTTAATGAAACAAGAGGGCAGGTAGGAAGTAAGCCAAATCTTACCAGGCCTGATCTTAAGAGATGCCGCCTTATCCTTGTGTTGTTGAAATATCCAGTCAGGTGTTTATCGGTAAGACTATTATATGCTGCCAGCAATCTGGAAGAGAAAAATGAAACCATTACGGTTTTTGAAGTGTTGCCTGATAGCCAAGCGATTCTTGACTTTCTCATCCCCAAACTGTGCATAATCATTCACTCCTCCAGACAGCTAGTCATTCATGTATGTGTTCAATAAACAGGTATTGAGGACTTACAGTTTTCCAGGTTTTATGATAAGAACTGAGAGACAGTCCTGACATTGTTTATTTTACAGACAAGTATGGAAATCAGACATGAACAATTATATTGGGTGTGAAAAATCCAACAATAGAAATATGCAAAACTCATGGGGACACAGAAAAGGAGACTACCAACTCCAGTTGTCAGGAAAGTCTTCTCAGAGGAAGCCTGATGGGAAATCTAGAGTTCTTCCAAGGACTCTTCAGCCCCTACCCTAAATTCCAGCAGCAAACTTAAATGTACTTCCTCAACATATTCTTCCATATCTTCAGGACACAATGCCGACATTACTGCCAAGGCTTCTCTCTCTCTGACCTGTTAGCTAGTGGATAGGATCAGAGATTCACAATCATGCCTTCTCCCAGCAAATATTCCCCAGTGCAAACTGGATGTTCTGTGTTACCTTCCACCCCTCCCTCCCTAAAACCTTGAGGTATACTACATATCACATAAGATTGGAAGGGCAGGATCTTGTGTTATTCTTAGTATCCCTTTGGAAGTATATATTGTGTACCCAAATAATGATGTGTTCAATAGGGGAAAACACAATTTTGTTTGGGTCTCGTTCCTACTGGTATAAACTTCTAAGTTTAAGTTCAGCAGCCTGGAAGTCTTAACTTCCATATCTATATCTACAGCTATGTCTATATATCTCACACAATTTCAAGAATTCCACATCCAGAACTCCCTCCCCTCCCCCCCAAAATTCATAGATTACTTTTGATTTTTAGGATCTTTTATTTTAAGAGCTAAAGGAAAACAAATTTGTTCCTTGATTACATCTTATATCTTGGAAGGTGGTCACTCTGAGTCTACAATCAAAGTTTGATGTTATTTTTTTTAAAGACTTTATTTATTTATTGACAGAGAGAGAGAGAGAGGGAACACAAGCACAGAGAGTGAGAGAGGGAGAAGCAGGCTTCCCACTAAGCAGAGCCTGATGCGGGGCTCGCTCCCAGGACACTGGGCGTGTGACCTGAGCCAAAGGCTGACACTTAACCAACTGAGCCATCCAGGCTCCCCTAAAGTTATTTTTTCTAAGTTTTAACTTACCCTCCACTGATTATCATTACCTTACAAAAGCAAACGTACCTACATTTACATGTGTGTATCCAGGTAGGCACGTGTGTTCATCCATATACATAAATGTGAGTGTAGGTACATACATGTATATATAGAGAGAGAGATGAAGACAGAGAGAGACAGGTAGAGAGAAAGAGGCAAAGAGGGAGAATTCACAAGCCTAGACATATCCCTAAAATAAGGCTGTCTTTAAAAAAATGTATACCCTATTACCTGCAGCAAAGATTCACAATCTGTACATGTGGCGAGCACTTAATCCTTAACTTATTTGGAGGCCACAGCAGGGACGCATATGATACAGTCAAGTAAATGTCATTAGTGACAATTTTATTTAGCTGCCTTAATTACATAGAAATGGTATTGGTGACCTTTTCCTGCCTCTTTTCTCCTTAACGCCCATCTTAGGAAAGTTATATGCTGTCAAATGGTAAGGAAAGTTTAATTTTGTCCACAAAAGACACTGAAAGCAGTTACAAAGCCCAGAAGCCAAGATGCCACATGAGAAGCCATTATTTCACGGGGTTTATGTAAAAAGACAACCTGAGGGCTTCTGTAATGCACATACGAAACCAGCCCCAGATAATGCTTTGAAACCATCTTTTAAATGAACTGTCTTGGTGTCCTATAGTTCATCAAAGGTTTCCTGTCTCCAAAAGGTCAACACTGTATCCCTTACCCTTTCTGAATCTCAGAATATCTTTTCAGCAACTCTTATCAGAAAGGTGAGCAGGTGTCTCTCGGTCCTAACAATCATGATTCCACAGTTCACAGATTCTTAAGATAAATTATTAGACAGATATCATATATAGTCTTTTGTCTGTTTTTCAGGCTCTAGTTTAAAAAAAAATCAATAGTTTTGGAATAGCTGTGAGTGCTAAAACCCTGATTAAATGAAATAGGGTCAAAAAGTTAGGATAACATGAACTTTAACTTCCCTACTGGCTGAAAAGAATCCCCCTTTTTCAATTCAGAATTTGTAACTTTTTCAATATTTAGGTCCTAAGAATAATGCTTAGCCAGCTTTGGCGACATCTCATCCTAATTCTGCCCCCTCAGGCTCATACTAAATGAGTATGTGTCCATGACATTCCTCCAGTCTTACCGAAAGGTCCAGTGGAGTTGAAACCTTTGAACACATCAGCTTTCTCACCTTTAAAGATTGAAAGTCCCTGGTTGGGATGCTATTTGTAAAACAACTCTTTCCATGACTATCATATATCTGGCCTTGGCAGAAAATTTGAAAAATAACTAGCTGGGTCCATCTGGGGTCACTGATTTCTTTTTCAGCAGTGCCTAATTTTTTTTTTAAACTGAAACTTTAGAATAACAAACTGTTTGATAACAAGAAATTGTACTAAAGTGAATTATATACAGAGTTAGAAAAACAGTTGTTAAGGACTGAATGTTTGCTTCCTTCTAAAATTCGTATGTTAAAATCCTAAACCCCCGTGTGATGGTATTAGGAGGTGGTGGGCTTCCAAAGTAATAGGATCAGAGCGTGGAGCCCTCATGAATGAGATTGGTGCCCTTATAAAAAAGACCCCAGAGAGCGCCCTTGACACTTTCACCATATGAGGAGACAGCAAGAAAACAACCGGGTTTGAACCAGGAAGCAGCTCTCACAAGACACTGAATCTGCGGGCACATAGATCTTGGACGTCCCAGCCTCTAGAACTGTGAGAAATAAGTTTCTGTTGTTTAAGCCACCCAGTCTGTGGTAGTCTGTCCCAGGAGACTGATGGGACTACATTAGCAGTCAAAGCAAACATTTCTTTTGTATCCATGCAAATGTCACCCTTGTTCAGACCATGAAGCCTCCACAGGGAGATGGTAGTAATCCTGTGTCTCAGCCACAACCATGGTCTGTCTAATCCTCTCGGCTCTGCTTCTCTTCCTGTGTGCTTGGTATGGGTTTGTGGCTTCCCTTTGCACTTGCTCAATTATAAGAGCTTTACTGACCCGGCCACAAAGTTCGATTAGTAGAGCTTTTCTGATGTTTCTGCCTTTGTCCTCTCCAGTCACTGATACTGTTCCCCCAACACACACACCCTTTTCTTTTCTCTCTTGCCCTCAGCAGAGCCCTGGGCCAGATGAGGTCACCTCACCCGAGGTGATTGTGTTGCACCTGCAGCACTCCACTTCCTTTGTAAGTCACTCTCTGCATCTCTGGTCAAAGCTGGACTTCTGGTCGTGCTACCCTGTCCCATGATCCTCCCTGCTGTGGTCCATAAGATCAACAACTGCGCTGATCACAGCAATTACCAGGCCACTGTGACTATATCATTCAAAGGCCATGCTGTTCACGCCAAGTCCCACAGCTAAATACCAAGACAGGCCTAACTCATTGGCTTCTTCATCTGATGGACAAGCCTACTTACCCATCCTCTCATCACCTGGTGTAGAGCAACCCACTATCTGGCTCAGTGCACCAGGGAAGATGGTCCCCCAGGAAACAGAGCAACCCTGTCTCTATGACGGGTCCTGTTTCCTCCACTCTGATAAACACCCCACATTCCTGCGGTGTAGGGATTAGAGGAGCAGGCTGCTGAGTCACTGGGAGTGCTGCCTTCCCAGCTGCAGTCCTTCAACACTTAACCCTGAAACCCCTGCCTCCCACTGTGTAGAATATATAAGTGGAGCTCTGAAGTAATAAAGTCAGTGGTTCCTATCAATCCCTCCATCTGCCCCCAAAGAGAATCTATCCCATAAAAACCCCATCTGAAAAGACAAGCACTATAATATTATTAATCACAAGCATTTATTGAACACTGACTATTTTCAGGGCATTCCACAAGATACCAGTGATTCAGAGATGGCACAGACACTGTACCCACAGCGTTCCCAATCTAGTATACAAGGGGGAAGTATATGTATACATACAGTGTGTGTGTGTGTGTGTGTGTGTGTATGTGTGTGAGAGCACGTGGGCATACTTTATTTCCTCCTGTGTCGTAGGTCAATTCATTCACAAATGGACAATGCATATTTAAGTGTCTCCATGTCAGATTCTGTGCCCTAAATTGGGCAAGAAGTATAATATTCCCATCCCATTAGCAGATTACAAAGCCCTTCCACATACACAGTCTCACGTGATTTCTTTTAGGCCCGTTGGAATGAAAGCTAGTACAGCTCTCCCATCTTCCTGAAATGGAAAATCTCTAAAACAAGATTATCATTTAATGTGAGCCAGTCATAGAAAAGCCTGACTAAAGTAACACTTCTTCACATACCACAGTGATAGAAGAATTTCTTCTGGCCTCAGTGATCTGGAACCTAAGCCCTCTCCCAGCACTGCCTCTCCCCACAGACGTAGTGGTCAAGACAGACGTAGTGGTCAAGACTCCAGCTCCAGTTCAATCCTGGCTTCACCATTACTGGCTCCGTAGCTGGGAGCAAGTGACTTACTATACCTTGGTTGTTCTACCTTCCACAAGACACTAGAACATGAACAAGATTGCGGCCAAGTTCTTCGCCACTTTATAACTAGGATCGCTTTTCCTCCAGTTTCCAATAGCATGTTTCTCATTTCCAACTCAGACCTCATTGGAATGGCCTTTACCATCCATATTTCTACTAACATTCTGTACACAATTATCTATGTGTTCTCTAAGATGAAGGAAGCTTTTTCTCCAGCTCCCTTTTATTTTTTGAGCTCTCACCAGAATTACAGGAAAATTCCTTCACAAGAAAATACTTGCAAACCATATGTCTGATACAGAGTTAATATCCAAAATA